ATGAAAAATTCAAAAGATCCAGCAGAGATGCCTAAAAAAACAGTATTCAACAATTTACCTCCGACATTAATCCATACTCAAACCCAAATAAAACATGGGCAAACATCAAAAGACTATGTGGGTTGTACCCCCAAAAAAACATCCACTGCCTTAACAACCCTACTCCTACAATCGACCCACAAGAAATCGCTAACTCTTTTGGTCAAAACTTCTCCTCAGCCTTCCGCCTCAACAAAGAGCTCCTTAATCCTACCCCAAACTACATCCCTACCAAAACGGCAATAGAAATCGAAAAAGACATAACGTTCATAGAATTCTCCTCAGCACTTAACACTCTGAAAGGTAGAACTCCAGGTTACGACCGCATATCTTACTGCATGATCAAAAACTTGCCCACAACTTTTAAACAAAGAATTATTAACCTCTACAATGAAATACACTCTTCACATATTCGCCAATCATTTAAACTTAGCCTGCTCCTACCCATCTTGAAACCACATAAACCTCAAACGGACATAAAATCTTACAGACCGATATCTTTGAACTCATGCCTAGCCAAAATCCTCGACAAAATAATGGCAAAGAGGTTGTGGTGGTTCGTTCTAAATAACGAACTTATTCACAACAGCCAATCCGGCTTTTATGTAGACCACCTAGCCTCCAGATCCATTGCCCTCAAGAAACACCTACAAATTATCTCACTCGACTTCACTAAGGCTTTCGACAAATCAACTACGTCAAAAACTTCATGACAAATAGGAAAATAATAGTCAAAACCGACACCTATCTCTCCAATACCTTCCCTCTTAACAATGGGATCCCGCAAGGCTCTCCAATCTCTGTCATTTTATTCCTCATAGCCTACAACTCCCTTACCAACATCATCTCTATCCCAAGAGAAATCAAGTTCTGCGCTTACGCAGACGACTTTCACCTCATCATAGAACACAACAAACGAAAAAACCCCACAGCGAACTTAACAGACACCTTTAACCAAATCGACGAGATGTGCACATCCAAGTTAAAAGCCGATCTGTCCAAGCCATTAGGCATAGTTAAGCACCTTTCGTCCCAAAAATACAGCACCAACACCGCCTCTCTCATCCAAGTGATAAAATCACTCATTATTTCCAAGATAGACTACTGCCTTCCAATTTATGGACACGCACCCAAATCACAATTAAACAAATTTAAAACTTCCCTCAATTCAGCAATAAGGTAGGTCTTGGAGCATTCCGTTCCACGCCAATAAACAACCTTCTATTAGAAGCCAGCATATGTCCCGTAGAACACAAGCGAGACTTCTTAACTGGAAAGCTTGCCAAAAACCTTTTAAAGTCCATCGACACACCATTGGAAAAGCTTACTAAAAGACACCATAGATACTCCAGCACAATAGACCGCGTAATACAAACATCCAAAATCAAATCAATTCCTTAACTCCCAATCAAAAACAATAAACGCAAAACATTTAAACAGCAACGATCAAACTGGGACTTCTGCCTTTCTATTCTTCAGTCCTCTCGAGTGAGATAATAGCAATTCAGGAAGCCATTAAAATTTGCGTAAAGATGCCTGGCGAACATGTTATATGCACTGACTCCCTCTCCTCGATCACCAACCATAACAACCATTCGCACTACGCCACCTCAGTCAAAAACCTAGTCACCAAACACTTCCCAAAAATCGCTCCTGTCTGGGTACCTAGCCACATAGGACTCGTAGGTAATGAAAACGCAGACGAGGCAGCCAAAGTGGCCTCTAAATTTCCACTAACCCTCACTGCCAACAACAACTCCAACGACATTACCAACTTCTTAAAAAAAGAACTACAAGATAAACAAACAAACACTCTTAGTTCAACATCTTACTGGTATCAACAAATTGCTAAATCATCCACGACTAACTCCCGCTATAAAAACTCTCCCTTGAGCAGGAGGCAACAAATAATAATAAACAGACTCAGACTAGAACACACAAACTTAACCAATGCCCACTACCTGGATACTGCTAAAAACAATTTGCAAAAACCCTCTCCTCACAACGTTCTCAATTCTTCCACAACCTTGATCCCATCCTATCTATAGCTAACCCAACAATCGACAACTTCAACATCATCTCAAACTTCCTGATCAATTCTAAAATTATTAATACAATATAATTTAAATTAATTAAAAATAAAATAAAAAAAAGCATAAGAATAAAACATTATAAATATCTGACCATATAGAAAATAAGCTAGATTCAAATAGACAAAAGAAATCAAAATGAAATGATACATAACCTCAAGAGCTGAAGGCCTATAGCTCATGCCCATTGTTAGCATTTAGTTTTTAATTACTTGTTAGCATTATATAAATATTAATAAATAAATAAAAAAATAAAGGCATATTAAAATAACATTTTTAGAACACATTTTATGTTTATTAAAATGTTTATTAGAGGCAATGTCAAGCAACTACATAATTAATCAAAACGGAAACCACGTAAATCTTAAATCGTATATATTGCTATAAAACTGTTATACCTAAATCGGTTTATTTTAGTTTTCAAGGTTCTTTGTAATTACTGTTTCAAATTTATTCGCAAACTTAATCAAATATTCCTACTTTCTTGTCGCGTTGCTTCTCGTGGCAAAGTTACATAATTTGTAGGTAAGGGAAATAGTATAAATAAATGTAAATAAAGAAGAACTTGGCATTTGATTGAGAGAACCCACCAAGTGAATATAGTTTTCGCAGCACAAAATGTCCAGTGAAATTTTAAGTTTCTATAAGGACAAGACGGTTTTTTTAACCGGAGGCACAGGATTGCTGGGAAAAGGTGCGCAGTGAACTAAAAATAAACTAAGAAAGAATATAATTTCGGTTCTGGCCGGTAAAATTTCAGTGATCACAGAAAAGCTGTTGCGGTCGACAGATGTGAAACGTATATACATTCTAGTGAGACCCAAGCGGGGTGAAAATGTGAATGGACGGTTTGAGACATGGAAGAAAGACCAGGTGGGTGCAAGTGAAGGCAGCACCTAGTTATGTGTGATGGCTGTTCCTGGTCAAATCTCCTCTCTGCAGGTCTTCGAAGTTCTGCTCAAGAACAAGCCGCACGCCCTAGAGCATGTGACTCCAATTTCTGGGGACTGCTGTGCGCCGGACATGGCCATCAGCGAGGCGGATCGAAGGATATTGATAACGGAAGTGCAGGTGGTTATGCATGGAGCCGCTTCAGTTAGATTCATAGAGCCACTGCAGCAGGCGTTGAACATCAACACGAGGGCGGTGCGCCTTATGGTTCAGCTGGCCAAGGAAATGCGGCGCCTCGAGGCCTTCGTCCACGTCTCGACGGCATTCTCCAACTGTGTGGTACACCAAATCCAAGAGCGTTTCTACCCGGAGAACCTCACCTGCCCCGTTGATAAGGTCCTCGACCTGAGTGATTCCCTCGGTGGGGAGATGGTAGAGAAGATTGCACCGGCCTTACTCGGAAAATACCCAAACACATACACCTATACCAAGGCCCTCGGGGAACAGGTGATTCAGGAGGAGGCCAAGGATCTGCCAGTCGGCATTTTCCGACCAGCCATCAGTAAGTAAAACTTTCTTGCCTATTCCCAAAAAATATACATTTTTTCTTATTGTAATTCATATTCTCATTCATTACGAATTACCGCTTTAGCAATCATCATATTTATAAGTATTTGACATCCATGTTTTGAAATTATTTCCCAGATAAGCTTATGTAAACCTATCTGGACTTTAATTTGTATCAACCTTTATTGAAAATGTATAACCTTTGTAATCCGTTGAGGTTGACATAGTTTTGCTTGCTGCTTGATTAGGAACATCGTTGATATGTATTTATAAGTCTTTCCATTAAATTCTCTTTCATATTTCTCAAATAATCCCTTCTGAACTTTCAGTAACATCCACTTTTAAGGAGCCTGTGCGTGGTTGGATTGATGGCTTACAAGGCTTGATTGCGCTAGTCTATGGCTCTGCTTACGGTATCATCCACCTAGTACTTGTTAATCTTAAAGTTAATGTTCCCTTAGTTCCTGCTGACTATTGTGTCAACGTGGCCATCGCCACAGCTGTACAGATAGCCAAGATCTCCAAGCAGGACAGTGAAATTCCTATTTACGCCTTTTCAAGCTGCCAATCGAATACAGTGACTTATGGAGACCTATCGGAAAAATGTTTCAAAAATGGGCTGCATATGCCAGTTGAAAAGATGATTTGGTACCCATTTAACCATAACATCGCTTGTCCGTATATTTATGACATCGGCGCCTTCTTCTATCACTTTCTGCCCGGATTTCTGATAGACATCGCGTTGCGACTGAAAGGTCAAAAGCCGATGATGGTAGAAAGATATCGAAAGATCGACGAAGGAATGAAAAGCTTGCATCCCTTTACAAGCAGGAACTTTCTCATAGAAACAAATAATACCGACCAGCTGTGGCAGTCAATGTCGCCGGAGGATAAGAAAATGTTTCATTTTGATATGACGACACTAGACTGGAACGAGTATTTCACGAGCGTCATATCCGGGATCAGGCTGTACTTGTTTAAGGAACTCCCGACCCCAGAATCCCTTGCCGAGGGCAAGAGAATTTTATCTAGGTAAGTGAAAGCTTATGATATTTAGATACATTTTTATGGTCTACTTTGGATTTCACAGGTTTTACGTGTTGGATACAATTCTTAAATTTGTTATCATTCTTGTAGTCGGTGCCTTTGCTTGGTTCTTATTCAACCTAGCATTCAATTAAATTTGCTAGAAAAGAGTTTAATTCGAAACATGGTACAAGGCAAAAGTGTTTTTTTTCCACAATAAGTTGTAAATATATTTCGTGTACAAATAAAATTTATTTTTATGTATCAGATCCCCTCTGCATCAAAAACGTAACACTTTGGTATTGTGTGCCGATGTATTGGTAAGGTTCATAAATATACGTACGTGTTTCGAAGTAATGTACAAAGTTTGCTGGTTAAACTTACGAGATATATAAGGTATTCAAATGCGTCACTATAATCGTGGCGTATATCTACTATATAATTAGGAAAAAGCAACTGCAATACAAACGCGTCTGCATTTCGATTTTCCATATAAATTAGGCAGTCACAAGCCACTCATTATCTGGACATTCACTGTCCAAACACTCACCACATGGGTGCGCACCCTCGACTTTAATTACCCATAGGTTATATTCCATTCCGTCTACCCAACTGAACTACCAACTACCGGGTTTCACTCTCTTCAGCTTAGGTGCACTTTACCTCCGACTTCAAGGCGAAGGTGACAGCGTTTTCCAATTAGCCAAATGGGGATCACAGGGCGCCACGCCACTTGACACATATGCGATCCGATCCTCTGGTCCACGAAAAGTGACAGAACTCGGGTTCTAATTTCTTCTAAGATGGGCAAGCCTAATTTTTTACTCCGCAGGTCAGCTGGAATTATCATACTTTAATGGGCCATGTTCAATTGGACGGGGGATCTTCTCCAGCTTTGGCGGGTAAGTAAAAGTTTACGATGCGATATTTACGACCCTGTCTGTCTAGGTGAGAAATTGGTTTTTGCGATCAGCTTCGGGTATAAATACCGGAGAAAAGCACTGAGCACCTCTCATTCAAGCATCAGTCGTGTCTGAATCGGAGGTGGGATAAGTAATTACGGATTTCCTGTTTATTTTCGCGAAAAGGGTCCATATCAAAACCAATATATGGCGAAAATGGCAACGGAAATGCAAAAATTTTACAAAGACAAAGTGGTATTTTTAACAGGCGGCAGTGGATTCCTGGGAAAAGGTATTCCAGAAGAAGCTATTCTCTCAAGATTCAGATAGAAAACTGATTCGCTCCCCTTTTTAGTGACCATTGAGAAGCTGCTCCGCACCACGGAGGTAAAGCGAATCTATGTGCTGCTCCGCTCCAAACGTGGCCAGGAGATGAAGGAACGATGCGAGGCCTGGGAAATGGACCCGGTAAAAATACCGTATTATAAAAAAAGAAACAAAATTGCAAAAACAAACAAATTTAAAAAAAGGGTATTTTATTGGGTTTTAAATTTTCAACCCATTTATACACTTAATCCCTATATTAGGTTCTCATTTCATTACCAATTAATAATATAAAGCTCTACCATTCCAGGTCTTTGATAATCTTATGAAAGTGGATCCCGATGTATTGAACCGAGTGGTGCCTTTAGGCGGCGACTGCCAGGAGCCGGATCTTGGCCTGAACACTCGATCGCCAGGTGTTGGTGGATGAGGTGCAGATCGTGCTCCACATAGCAGCCACTGTGCGTTTTATGGAGCCCCTGCACATAGCCCTGGCGGTGAACACAAGGGCCACCCGACTGATGATTCAGCTGGCCAAGGAGATGCCCCACCTGGAGGCCTTTGTCCATGTGTCCACCGCGTACTCCAACTGCGTCATAGAGAACGTTAGTGAGCGCTTCTATCCGGAGCACCTTACGTGCCCCGTCCAAAAGGTCCTGGAGCTGCAGGAGAGTCTTAGTCCGGAGATGTTGGATAGCATGGCACCGCACTAATGGGCAGGTATCCCAATACCTACACCTATACCAAGGCTCTGGCGGAGCAGCTGCTGCAGCAGGAATCGGGGATCTGCCCATCTGCATCTTTCGTCCTGGCGTTAGTAGGTTAAAGCCATTGGAACTAAAGTACCATCTAATCCCGTATTCCCCAGTAATTGCCAGCTATAAGGAACCATGGCCGGCTGGATCGACAACACCAACGGGCCCATTGCAGTTCTGTACGGGGCAGCCTTTGGAGTACTCCGCATCACAAGGCTCAATGTGAAGGCCCAGGCTGGCATTGTGCCGGTGGATACTGCGTTAATCTGGTGCTGACCTGTGCCTGGAACACGGCCCGGGAAAGTGTCATCAAGCTGCCACCGGAGCCGCCCATCTACAACTTGACGCCCACCGATGACAATCTGATCACCTGGGGGGATTCAGGGACAAGGCGGCGCGGCTGCGTTGCAAATATCCGCTGACCAAGATGATGTGGATGCCCTTCCTGCACTGCACGACCACCCCTTGGTTGTTCCGGTTTCTGGTCTGGTTCTACCACCTGCTGCCCGGCTATGCCATCGACTTGGTGCTACGTCTACGAGGTCGCAAGCCGCGCATGATCAAGCTGTACGACAAGATACACAAGAATATCGACATACTGGCACCCTTTGTGGACACAACTGGCATTTGATAGCTCCAAACCCTCAGCTGTGGCGCAGCATGTCTGCCGGGGACAAAAGCTCTACGATTTCGACTTGGGCGTATTGACTGGGACGATTACTTCCTACAGGCCTTGTCCGGGATTCGCATTTACCTCGCCAAGGAGGACCGGGACAGGAGACCTGGACAGGGCCAAAAAAATCTTGAGAAGGTGAGCTTGGGTTCTAATAATATGGAAATGTTATTTCACAGCAACAAGAAGATATCGTTAACATACCGTTAATAATTAAAAGACTTTTGGTTTTTTAAAAATATAAATATCATATCATCATTGATCATAACCTATACTTTCATAAAAATATGTGGATAACGATACTTTTAAACGATATAATCAAAAGGGTATAAATTATCTTCCTAAACATATCTATTTATCCTTCACAGGTTCAAATTTCTCCATCGGCTCCTGCAGTTCACTCTTTGTAGCGGTGCTGCCGCATCTTGTGGTCCATATTAATGCGAATATTTGGACTTTTTATATAAAGCATCAATCAACACACACTGGCACCCACGCAAAGGAAGTATATTAGCTGGCTTTAGTTTAATTAATTTAACTTTAATAAATGTTTTGGCTAATGTGTAAAGTCCTAAACTCACTGGTGGACGAAGGGGAACAGGATGCCGTCGATTGGTAAATAAAGAGACACCAGAGACCGAGTTTAATGAAAACCGATGCGAAGCACGCCATTTGAACGGGACAACAGTTGGCAGTAGACTGAACCAGGCCGAGGCCCAAAGCACTCAGGCACAGGCCCTGTGAATTGGCCACATCCGTTTCCGCCTCGGAATCCAGACCAAGGCAGACGGAAGCTGTCGAACGTCGCCGGGCGTGGGTGGACTAGTTTTGCGCCATTTTCCATCGATTAACTTAATTCGATTGGGTCTTGGTTCTACAGAGGGGGGTAAGATTAGGAGCACTCAATGCTAGAGAAAAGTTCACTCATTTAGTAAATATACTTTATTTTAAAGATAATATCTTTAATTTATAGAAAAAATCAAAGACCGCGACAAATATATCTTTGATTTAGGGATTTATTGATAAAAATTTTTCTTTAATAGTTTTGGATGTTAAAATAAAACATTTCCTGTGGTTCTGTTTTGACTCTGTATTGGGGACACTAATCAAATCAAATTAATAAAGTTATCTCCCCAAATCTTAGTTTTTCCCACTGCGCGGAGAGCAACGAGTAAGGGCATTGGGTCGCTTAATTTAGGCTAAATTATGGGCGCCAACTCACCAAATGAGCGTCCGGGCTTCGACAGTTCCACGTCCGTCGGCAGACTGTTGGCCTTGGGCGGAACCGCCTGCTCCTGCTGGAGCTTCTCCTGCTTCACCGCCACACTGGCTGCCTCCAGGACCGCCGGAGGTGGGGGCGAGGGCTCCGGCACTCCCGGCTCGTTCGGCACGAACTTGTACTTTCCCCGGAATCCCTTGGCCGTGCGATTGGAACTGGCGTTGAACTCGAGCAGCAGATCTGGGCCACTACTCATCATCCGACGGGTGGGTCGGCTCGAGCAGAGCACATCGATGACCGAGCTCATAAGGCGGACTCGGCGTCGAACAGAGTCAGTGCATCCAACTGGCAGCCACCGCTGGCCACCGGCGGCAGTTCAGCTCCTCGAACAGGATCTCCACGTGGGTGCCCGGACGACCGATGAACTTGTAGGCGCACTTGATGTGCGCCGGATAGTGGGCGGGAAACTGGGGCGAGTGGAAGTAACCCTGGCCCAGATTCCCTCCTCGCCGGACAAACTGGCGAAGAAGTAGAAGTCGCAAAAGCTGTGCGGCACCAAGCGACCATCCGTCCGGAAGTTATCTAATAAAAGTTAAACAATGGAGTTGGTATATTTAAATAATGATTATATTAGTAAGTTCTTTATTATACTATCATTGACGACTAGATTCCCTCTTATCTCAGGAAATTTCCTAAAAAGGCTTTCATTTCCTTAACATATTTTTCTTAAAAGGAAAATATTTACAATTGTAATATTTCAGGTTTTGTTTACACTTTTGAAAAACTGTAATATTCCTGAAAATGGAGCAAGCAAATACTTTCTTTATAACGAAATCTATTTATTTGGTGCCCAATTAAAAGTCCTATACGTTTATAACCTTACTATACTATTACTTTACTATAATCAACAAAAATAGCTTTAGACAATCAAGATTATTTGGATCTTAATATTTAAAAAATCCTTTTTGTTTCAAGTACCATAAAAAACCCATATATGTGATCTTAATTTTTTACTGACCTACTACGATTTGCTACATTTTTTTTCCAATATGGCTGATTTCAAGTCACATTTTTGACAAGTGTAAATAGAGCTTTGTTCTTATTATGTCATAGAAGCCTCTTAAAAATATAAGTAATTTAATAATATATTTTTATCGTTGAAGTGAACTCACCTCGCTTCAGAAATCGATAGCTGGCGGCGAGGGTCAAGTTCCAGTGGGTCAGGTCCGTGGGCGGCTGCTGGAACCGGAGGCGCAGTCCCAGCCATCGGCCAGCGCTATAAATAGGCGTGGCACTGCGGTTCCGGCTGTGCTGGCAAAAGGTGTCCGCCGCCAGGGTCGCGTTCTCGATGACGGGCTCCCGCAAATAGGGAAAGACGTCCATGCTGTCCAAGCAGCTGTCACAAAATTGCATTCGATGGGAAAAAGAAAGAAGAAAATATAATTAAAAAACCGAACAGAGAGGGATTCCGCTGGCCGCTTGCATTGGCCAGAGCAGATGCGTAATGATGTCTAAAATTTATTGGCCGATACTTTTGGGGCTGGCTCGTTGGCCAGCCAGCCGCCTCCCTATAAATATACCCTCGCAACCAGCAAATGGCCATTAAGAAATATTTCCAACGCTCTGCTGGTTCTTCACGATTTATTTTGACAAAAAGTCGAACAAAAGTTGGCGTTAAGGCTAATACAATAAGATACATCGGCACACCTGCCCTAGGACTTTAAGTAATTTAAAAAAAAGACCACAATTAAAGAGCTTTGCTAGTTAAAATTTACGTTAGCAAGAAAGGAGTGACCTAAAAAAATACTTATGTCGAATAAATGAATAAATAAAATTTCGAAAACAGGGAAATATCTTTAAAATATATATATTTCTGTCCTTTATCTGATATGTGGATTGTTTATATAACAATAAGGATGTTAAGTGCAATATATCGTTGAAATAACAAATTGTTTTAAAAGGTGATGGGAAGGAATTTTGTAATTGTTGAAATTCTAGGCAATATGCGCGTAGTTTAATAATAAAATAATCCAATCTAATCCCTAAGGCCTTTTGAACTCTTGCTTAAGTCTCGACTAACTGACTGTATTTGTTTTAGAAGATGACAATATTTGCGTATCTGTTAGCATCTTTGTTTTGATACAATTTGTCATATTTCTAAAGTTTTTAGGTGAGGCTCCTTTATGTCGCTATAATTTTTTAGTTATTCCTTTTCTGAAATTTTTTTTAAGTTTTAGAAAAATACGTTTGAATTTTTTAATATTATATGCGAATCTCCACTTTAGTTATTCCCCTTTTCGCTTGCGCATTCCACTGAGCATGCGACAAAAGGCCGGATAGTCAATCATGGGCGGCTCCTCCAGGATTTCGGCTTGGCCATCGGGGCATGGCTAAGAGCCTCCTTGGCCTCGTTGAGGGTCATTTTGTCGCCATAGTTGGTCAGCTCCTCATAGATTCTGGGGAGTGTTTAAGTAGAGTTTCATTGTGTCAGCCTTTTGAGTCCGTAACACCCACTTGCGTTCATCGATCTTGCCCGTGCCATGGTCATCCCATTTGCTCCAGGCCTCCAAAAGCACATCCTCGGGATCCAGCTCCTGGGTGCGACGACTCATCAGCCGGACAAAGGCATCGTAGTCCAGTGGTTCCTTGGCCTCCTGCATCATCTGTTCCAGCAGCTGCTCGTTGGGCTCATTTCCCAGGGCCGTGTAGGTGAACCGTAGATCCTCCTTCGAGATCAGCCCATCGCAGTCCGTGTCGAAGAGTGAGAAGACCTTGGAACAAGCCATGGAAAATAAACCTCTGCCCACCTCAGCACTTCCAAACTTACTTCCTTCAGTTCCGCTAACTTAGCAATGTCCAGTTCATGGGGCGCCACATTGTCATCGGCACTCATCTCCTCGGGCAGCGTGTAGTGGCCACTGGACTCCGGCAGTTTCAGCGTGGGATTGAAGATCTCGTTGATCACGGCCATGGCCTCCGAATCCGGCAGGAGGGAAGGCGGTTGGGGAGTGTGTGACTGCTTGCGGGCGGAACTGGCGCGACGTCGGCGCTGGATTTAAAATGGGACTACCGTCATAACTGGACAGTTTCACCGATTTGGTTTCACTCACTCGCTCCAGATCCTCTAGGGAAACTGTTGGATCCATCGACATTTTGAACGATTTGTTACACTACACACTTTTCGATTTTTCACTTATTAATTTAGAAGCCTGTTTAAATACTTTTATATAACATAAAGAATAAGTTTACAAATCGTTCTGTTAGTCACTCAACTCAGAGAAAATACCAATTCATATTACTTTAGATATTTGGCTATATATCAAGTAAAATTCAACATGTTTCATTTTAATATAAATAGTTCATTCATTTTAATTTTATTTTTTTAACAAGTTTGGACGGAAACAGTTCAATAGAGGTATTTATTTATTTACGCAATAGAAGAATGATTATAACAATGCTGTTTAAACTTAAATGTCCGAGTGGTTCCGAAAGTATTATAAAAATATTTATTATTATGCTAAATTTTATTGATATTTTGCATTGATTAACTATAATTAATAACTATAGTATTAATAATTGTTACAATTAATCAAAATATTGACATTTTATCTAAAAACACAGCATGCTTTATTTTAATACACTCTACTCATTCTCGCGGTAATCTTTTATCTTTTGACTTTTATATTACCAAAGGTAAAAAATAATAGTAATTTGATATATTTTCTCTGAGTTGGAAACACCTTTAAACAAGCTATTTAATCGCGTTTTGGAAAACGTTTTACCAGCGGTTCAACTATAGTATTAAGCGGCTCTAAAACACAAACACTTTCAACCACCGACCAGGACTCTCGAATTCCGCGCGATTTCCCAGCGATTCGGAAGCGTTTTCCCAGCGACTGATGCACCTTAAATATTACTCATACGTTCGGCGGAGCACTCGGTCCAAGATCCACTGAAATGGCTTGGCTAGTGCTCTCCAATTTTATTGACAAATCGATTCCGAAATATTGTGTGCGTTATTTTCATGGCGCAAATGTGGATGCATACAATTTTGCATAAATTGACACAAATTTTCGGGATTTTTGATATAAATAACCAGGCGTGCCGGCGGCCACGGCTCTACCAAAAGCCAAAACGGACCGCCCACATGGCCTTCGCAAGGTATTTTAATTACATTGCCGATTCGGCGGGGATTTGGCTTCTACTGCAGCTTCTGCCTCTGGCCCAGCGATTCCACATTTGGCCACGGCATTTCCACGACGGACGCCAGCCTTATCCATCGATTTTGATGGCTGTCGCTGGCAGCTGTCCGCCGATTCGAGATCCAATCGCTCCTCGCCCAATCCCCCACTGAATCGATCCCGGAATTTTGCCGGAAGTATGGTCACTCACCCGGGGCGCAGCTGCAACCGCTCGAGCTGAAAGGCCACCAGCTCGTCGTCCATTCCGCCGATGAAGACCATCAGGCAGTTGTTCTTGGCGCCCATCGCCTGGCTGCCGTTAATGGCCAACCTGCCCCACTGGGTGGCATTCCGCTCGGTGAAGTGAAGGCAGGAGCAATCTGTAGGGGATATAAATCAGTGATACATACAATGTATTTTTGCTTAACAAAATTAATAAGATGTACAAGAATTGATACGTGAGAGATAAATTTGTGAGGAAATGTATCAGATATATATTCTGCAAATTACAAAAAATTGTAAGAAGGCCATAGAAGTACACATTTGAAGAAAAATACTTAATAAAGTATTTGAAATTAAAAAATGTATAATTTTCATTTTAATAATTATAAAAAAATGGTAAAATGGCAATATGAAACTCATATTATTTAGAGATGATTACTGCTGGATGTTATTGCTTTATACATTAATGTAATAACCATACATTTTTTGATGAAGATAATAGTGTCTAGTTCAAACTTTATATTTTACATTATGAAATTACTTTATGATCTATTAAAAAATATTAAAATAATATTTTTATAATTTACACCTTTTTTTAATGATGATGTTTAAATTTCAACCTACCAAGCCAAAGATGCAACTGCTTGCTGTTGGCCACTTGATGCTGCTGCTGCTGCTGGACCATTTCCGGTGGCCACCGCCAGAGCCACGGCTAATCCGAATCCCAGAACCCAAGTTGCGGCCGCCATTGTCAGCGGCCAAAGTGAGACTGTGCTGACGGATTCGGATTCCATTATCCTGCCGTCTAGCTGCGGGCTTACGATGTCCGGTATAAAAATAGCCCGCTCCTCTCATAACACTGTGCTTCTCTGCCCTGCTGGGCTGTTGGGCCATTAAATTTGAGTTGAGGTTTTACAGGTGCCGCCATCAGCATCCGCTAGTTTGCCGCCCACCTCACTCCCACACCCACCCCCACTTCCACCCCCCCTTTGATTTGACCACCAAACACACGGTAATACTGTACATTTGCCTGAAGCCATTCGGCACAGCATCCTTTGGATACTGTTTTTGGGTGGCGGTATTTTTAAAATGTGTGTCATGTCGTCTTTTTGTGAGCGAGTGGGCGCCAGTTAACAACAGCTTATCTCCGCCCCCATTGAACCAGTCAATTCATCTAGATTGTCACACTTCGGAGACTGAAACTCAATTAAGTTAACTGCCAATTCAGATGAAAATTACATTTGACATATCGTTTCGTCCCAGTTGAGGGATACTTATTAGTTGTGTCAAAGTGAAAAAGGGAGGAAGGCCGAAAAATACAGATTTGATTGGCAAGGCGAGACTGTGCACCAAAAAAATATAACATAAAAAAATATAAGTATAATATTACAAAAATGTCTTTTGAAGAAAACAGGAAATTTATAACTAAATTAATTTTGTTGTATTCATGTGAATATTTAACATATTTATACGTTAGCAAGTTTTATTAAAAGCTGTTAAAATCATTTTATTACCATTAAACAGAGAAAATTCTGAAGTTCTCATCTGAGTTGAAAATGTTCTTCAAAATAAAAATTTTTAAGTCGAAAATGTTTTTATTTTGCTCAAATCAAGTTGAGTTAGCGGTATTTAAGTACATTGTATGTACAAATAAACTATTAGTTCAGTCCTTAGTGTATAATTATCAAAAAGTTGTTAAATAAACTCAATTTAACTTTTCCCTTCTCACCATTTCGTTCCTATATAGATACCAAAATGTACTTACACGGTTTTTAAGAACGATTGTTCTCAATTCAAGAACAATGTTCTTGGATACTTCTCTCTGAGAACTTTAACTTTAGAAATAATTCAAAGAGCCGGAGTATTAGTTTTACAGAACAACACATTTATTAAATACAACACTTACTCAACTGATACTTTTTAAATACATTTTTCTACTGGCTAACACTTCTCAAACATTCCTATGCGCCTGCAGATTGGTTCATCTTGGCCTTAAACATGTCGGCCAGTAAATTGGCTTTGCTGGCATTCAACTCCTCGTAGTCAAAGGGTGCCATGTGTTCTTTGCAGCGATCGAGCCATTGGCGGATATGTTTATAGGGTCGCAGTTCGAATTCGAAGGCCTCCAACTGGGAAACGGTCACCAACAGCGTAAGATCGGCGATGGTAAAGTGCTCGGCGGCGGCAAACTGTCTGCCCTCCAAGATCTTGTTGAACCAGCCCACAGCCTCCGCCAGTTTGGCCCGCTTTCCCTCGTCCAAGGGGGCTCCAATAAACATTGTGGGGAACTGGGAACAAAGAAGATATTATGATTTGAAAGTTTGTTTGAAAGCTTTGAAAAGGTTATAACATATCCTTATTTTAGATCTTTTCTCTTATACTCCTATCTTAACATTTTTATATAAACTGAATTTAAACCGGAACTGGTGTCTTACAGTTCTTACAATTTACATCTAAATTTATTCGAAATAATTTGTAAACTGATCAATGAATGCATAATGAATAATGAAACTTTATAAAGGTGTGATTTTAGTCCGAACGGATGTATTTACAGGGACCCTTTAAATAGATTTAAAAAAGCAGTCGGCAGCTTCCCATTAAACGGTTTCTGCTCGTTTTCTGCCGCCACACAAACAGTGTAGAACAGCACACAACGACAAGCTTCCCGTGCAAAATACTCACACGAATGAAATATATAATATCATTGTATAGCGTGCCGACCGATGATTTAGAATGATTGTTAGCACTTAGACATATATTTGTACACATTGTCCGTCTAAAGAACCATGATGTCTTACATAGTAGTCCGTGAGTCGCAATAGAGGGTGCCCAGATCGAAGTGGAGACGTTGGTCCACCAAGGCCCTCACCCTAATATCCGTGGGGTATAGTTCGTCACTCTTTCCGTAGGCTGCCACTAGGTACGACAGAATGGCCCGACTGCAAGGTAGGAATATCAGATTTGGGTCACGAACAGACTGATTAACTGACTGACTCACCTTTCCCACAACACCAGACCCTCGTCGTTCATGGTCGGCACACAGTGCTGCGGGTTCATGGCCACGAAGTCCGGCTTCAGCTGCTCCCCCTCCAGGATGTTGACGATCTTCAGCTCGAAGTCCAGGTCGAGCATCTTGGCCAGAAGCAGGATGCTGCGGCAGGGCGGACTGGGCGGCAGGTAGTACAGCACGGGGGGCGACATCTTGCCACCTCTGAGGAGCAGGCAATAAACGAATTCGGTTACAATACGCTTCGTGTCACTCATTGGCCGGAACTGGAATGCCAAGTTGGCCAACATCAAACGGGCACTTTGGCACACGAAGACCCAAAAAACTTGGTGGTCAACTTGAAATAATCAATTCATCGATTTTATTCGTCTACATATAGTTAATTATTGACTATTGTTCTTTGCGAGGGTCCCAAGACTTTGCAAAAGTTGGGTTGACAAAGTTAAATATGGCTTTCGAATTCCGTCGGTTATTTCCAATGAGCTTACAATAAGTAACTGAACTCTTTTGAAATATTTTTAAAGAATTGTATTACTTGTCGGTCTCAAGTTAGGACTAAAATGGTTTTAAAAATAATTTTAGTTAGTTGTTCTTGGGATTTTTAGTTTGAAAGTGTTTTGTTTGAAAACGCGAGAGCCTAAAAGTATGCAAAGATTTCTTTAAGAATTCATGTAAAATTCTATAGATCATGTAAAATTGATGTTATCATACTAAGCCAGTGTTTTTCTTCTATCTAAAATAAACAGAAATATTTATTTGCCTTAGGTAAACCACAGAGGGAATGCGAGCCCTCGAAACACTTTCCCTGGGCATTCCTATCTCGAAATGGTAATCGCTGTGCGGTGGCCCGCACTTAATTGCACTCACTTATTTATTCATTATGGAATATGCACATAAGGCGTTGGACTAGACCGGATCGGACCAGACCAGACCGTAACTACCACTCCTACTCACACAATTCTGTGCACCAGCTTGTGCTGCACCACGGCCACCGAGTCGATGTCTATGCAGTTCCCCAGTATGCCGTAGAGTCTCGCCGAGTCCGATTCCTATTCCTATTCCGAGACGTGTCAGTTGAGGACTAATAAAGGACTCCCGGAGGGAATAGCACTGATGCTGGGCGCTCCAATGCGTGGGATCCTGTCCGGCGAGGGAATCTGCCTCGGCTGTCCCAACTTGCCGACGTCGCTGTCCACGGATGTATCCGCTGTCTGACTTTTCCAATTTTCAGAGCATGTTGTCTCGCCAGCGCTGTGTTGTCGCTGCTGTCTTTTGGGGGCATTTGTTTTCGTTTAGTTTTCATAACGAACGTTGCCAGGGACGACGGACCGCCCGAGTGTTCACCTGTTCGTCCAAGGAGGTGGGCCAGCATAGGTGGGCGGTCCCGAAAACTCGGCCAAAATGCTTTCATTCGTGTCTAAAATTAAACGTCTACATAATATCCCAAGCTATGCTTGCTTTCCCATACCTTTTTCTATTGATTGCCAACAGATTTTCCAATTCAGAGCACCTGATAAAGTTGGTTGAGGGGGGCTTTGATTGGCATCACTTGAAACTCGACGTGTTTGCATCAAACATTTTTCGACAGTCATGAATTCATCGCGTGCCTGACATTTCTAAGGACCCCTCAAGGACATGGCCGGTCCGGTACAGTGGTAATTAGCCAGGACATTTATATTCCAGGTGACGAGGTCCCACGGCATCTTCTACCTGTGTTTTTTTCCCTGGCAGGTAAGGTAGGGAAAAATTCTTTGTGCTAAGGATTAGGAAAAAGGGACCTCTGGGATTCCATAGAATTTACAGATTTATTGCACAATGAGGCCTCAAAATGGCCGATCTAAGCGAGGCTATATAAGAACCGATCGCATCCTAGCCAGGATCAGTTTTCATTTCAAGATCAAGCCAAAAAGATGCTCCTGAAAAAGTGCAGAACCCACTTGCTGTTGGTCCTGGTGCTCACGATACGGGAATCGCTCTGCGTTCCAGCCCTGGATGCAGCTCCTGCGGCGACCACGCCCAACAATGTTGATGAGGCGGATAATCTGGTCGAGGGCAGTGGCGAGACTGTTACTGCCCCCCAGGTTGCAGCCCCCACAATAAGCAATGAAACTATCCCCGCATCTACAGAAAACTCGGAGGCAGCCGTGGTAAGTACTACCCACAATAATGATTAACATACCAAAACGTTAACAAAAGGATTAGTTAGTGAAGTAAACTTTGTGATGTGACGATCCCTAAAAATCTTTTTTTGCGTATCTGATCAGTTATTTCCATTTCTTTCATAACATTAATGATATTAGGATCAACAAAACCTTATTCATGACTTACAATTTATTGTATTGATTGCGATATTAGCTCTTTATCCTTAAAGATTATTAACACCAATCAATTGTTGAATTCTTTTAGTTTTGTTAGTTTTTCAAAAATATATTCATAAATGGGAAAGCGGAAAGTAGATATTTGTAATTAATAATTTTTAGAAAAGTAAAGTTAAATAACATAAATATGTAACTTATATTTCCACAGCCTGACAATGTGGCCAGCGAAAGCAGCATTGATCCCAGCACCGTTTACTCGATCACTCCCGAGGCCTTCCAGCAATATGTAAACCAGTACGGAGCCGCCTTTGCTCCCTACTCATATCCGACTCCCGTTGGAGGATCAGCACCTGGCATTTATCCGTATCCTGGTCCCATTGTGGTGCAGACGGGCTACGAGGGCTTCCTGATGCCCACCAATGCCGTTGGGCAATCGGACAGCACCACTGTGGCGGCACCTGCTCCTCAGCCGACCTCTTCGAATCCCCTGATGGCCCTCGTCTCTCATCTGGTGCCCACGGTCCTGATGTCTACGCTCCTCCGCATCGCCGCCGTGATTCTGTCCGCCGTGGGGATCATCCTCTTCGGCGGCGCCATCACAAGTGCCCTGTGCAGGGTCACCCCGATCTGCGAAATACCCGCCCGGGCTGTCAATATCCTGCGCACAGGTGGAGCCCAGGATGTGGGTCGCATGCTGGCCGAGGAGATGACCCCGGAGCGGGTGCGTCGGGCAACGGAATTCGTGCGCACCGCCATCCGGAAGTACCAACAGCTGCAGAAGCTGGCGGAGGCCTCGGGGGCGATGACCGAGTTGACCAATGGATATTAGGTTTAGTGCTGGCTCGTAAATTAGGTGGAATGCAAAATATACTTTTAATGACGCTATAAAAACGATTTCACTTTTGTCTGTCACAAGGGGTTATTTGAATGAGTTGGATTTATTAGTAATATAACACTTGCAAATTTAAGATCCCTACAAACCATTTTATAATGGATTTGTTAACTTATAAGTGAGTGATCGCCAGCAAAAACAGAGATTACGCTGCATACTCACTATAGAATACTCACCAACATGAGGAAACCACTCACAAAAACATAACTCCATCATATCATTAATGCTGGCGAAAACTGGTATAATTATCAGTTAATTATATATTGTTCTTTGAAGATATTATTTTTTTTAACATATTAGTACATCTAATTTGTTTTTAGAAAATCATCATCTTAGATGATATTCCTAGCTGTTTATTAGTTCCAGAACTTCTCTGTCAGCCCTCTGGCGGTTTTTATGGCGCACACAGGCAATGTAAAATATGTGGGCAATTGCATATGTAATTTGTACTCGCTCAATGCCACAAGAAGCACGTTTGTTAGCTAACTAAGCCCGCGATTGTTCTAACAGTCGACCGGTCATTGGCCCACTCCATTCGTATTTCCCTGAGGGGAGGGGGGGCCCAAGTGGATTTATATGTAAGTACTATGAAATAATCGCGTGCATTCAACTGCAGTGGTGCAATTGCAATTGGCAATTGTCGTGAAGCGCTCGGGGAATTTACAAAGCTAACATTAACACGATCTCACTTTTATGAACCATGTCAGAGATTGGAATTTAAAATATTTCTAAAAGCTGATTAATGTGCTCCATGGATTATTTTGGAGATTGGGAGTACAAAGAGATCGCGACTCAATGCTGCGAAGTCATTTTTTAACACACTCATAACAATGGTGATAAAGTGAATACCGATATAATATATGTGTTCATGTTTTCGCATACATACTAAATTTAGAATTATCAACTCCCAAAGTAAATACATCATGGGTTGGTAAGGGAATGAACAAGATATTAAACACTACCATATATGGCAACTTCTCAAAAAATATAAAACTTGGAGAATTTTGAGAATTTTATTTTGTAAGTTATTGTATATTTGAGTATGACAAAGGCGTACTTATCTTTATCTTTAAAGAATATCTCATTTCTCGCAAATAATTATTATATATGTTTTAATACAATATAACCGCATTAGGCAACAATGTGCTGAGGTATCGTTTTCGTTAATATTTTCAAATCAAAACAAATCAATCTTTCTGGCTGTTCTCCTGGACGAACTTCTTGATCATCTGGACTCCCTCCCAGTTCTCCTCCCATCCGGGGGTTACCTCCTTGGCATTTTCGTACCACCTGGCCACGTTCGGATATTGGCCAATGTCGAAGTCGACCACCTCGAAGGTCGAGACCGAGGCCAAAATGGCAATGTCAGCCACGGTAAGGCAGTCGCCAGCCACATAGTCCTGGTCCTCCAGGAAGGTGTCCAGGTGCCCAAAGGCGCTGTCCACTTTCTGCATGGCCTCTGGATCGGCTGGCTGTTTGGTCCTTATCTGCGGATAGATGGCCTGAATGAAACTCTGGAACAGGGTGCCCATGTCGAAGTAGAGCCGCTGATTGACCACGGCCTTCTTCTCGGGATCACTTGGATACAGTGAGTCATCCTGGCCGTACTTCTCCACCAAGTAAATCAAAATGGCTCGGGACTCCCAGATGGAGAACCCGTTGTCCACCAGCGTTGGAATGGTGTGCTGGGGATTGAGCTCCACGAACTCCGGCTTCAGTTGCTCCCCATCCATGACTTTCAATAGCTTCATATTCAGCTCAAGTCCAAGGGCCTTGGCTGTCATTATTACGGAACGGCAAGGAGCCGAGCAAGGATGATAGTAAAAGTCCATGATGAAAGTCCTGCGCAATTGTTGGCCACAACTAACCGCCGCGGAACAGTTCCAATGGCTTTTATAGCCACAGTAAATGACGTCCGAAATCAAATCGATTTCCATATATAGGCATCCAGAGTCGTGCGACTTTCACGAGTGGCAGCCTTATCGGTGATAACGATTCAGTGTAATTAGAAGTGTTTAGCTAATGGTCGGGTAATGAACACATATATACCTTTAGGCGGACATGCGTGCTAAAGTTACGGCCACCAATTTGAATTTACTTAAAAATGCCATTTCTTTTGATTGTATACATTAAAATAGTAATTACAAGTTAATGGTAGGTCGTTAGAGCAAATAGAATGTCATCAGAGGGAAAGGTCAATGTCAATGGGGTCAGACCTTTGGTATAGAAAAGAAAACAAAGTAGTTGGCCACTCCCATTGCAATTTCTCATAAAACTGTATAGATAAGATCAATCTTTTGGAAGAAAATGGTTTGTCGAATATAACTTAACATTACCATGGCTTCCCAGTCCCTGAACAGAAAGTATTGATTCATTCTTATCAGGAACTGTATTGCTTTGATTTGTGACTATCAAATGGTTTGAGTAATTATCAAACACCCCCGCAAAATATCTTGATGATAAGGTTATATAACACCCAGGAAAAAAAAAAGAATTTCGGAGTCCCAAATCATCACGTGAAAGCGTTATCTTAAGTCAGCATGATAGAACGAATAACCCTTATGCATCCATAATCCACATTGAGTATTAAGATTCTTTCCTTTCGGCCAACTTTTCTTCCAGGAACTTCTTCGCCTGCTTCAGACTGTCCACTTTTTCATTCCAACCTGGCGTATCCTTCGGGGCATTCTTATACCACCTCACTGTATTTGGGAATTTCTCGAGGTCGAACGGAACGATTTCGATTGTGGATATGGCGGCCAGGATGGTAATGTCAGCCACCGTTAGTTGGCTGCCGGCCACATAATCCTGGCCCTTTAGGAAGGGGTTTAGATCTCCAAGGGCGGAGTTAGCCATGTCCAAGGATTCCTGATCTCCAAGCTGAGGACTCGCAGAGCGGGCCCATGTCAAATTAGAGCCTCTGGTTCGCAGACATCTGGACTACACGGGTATTCGGGGAACTGGGCATGTTGTAGAGATCGGTGACCATGGCGAAAATTCCGTCTGATGCACTGAAGTGCATGTTTAATGTGTAATTGTGCTACATAAATCATAGTAACGCACTGGTTTTAAGTAATAACGTATAAGGATAGCGTTCAGTAGTAGACTAATATTTGCTACCAAGAAAAAACCGCTATAATCGAGTGCATCGACTATCAGATACCCGTTACTCTGTTTCAAATTTTAATTAAAATAATCTAATATTAAACAGATATGTAGTAGGTAATTTCAATAAATTTTATTAATAATTTATTATAGTTTAACCATTTACTTCTTCTCAGCGATTTTTCCTCTAGGAACTTCTGCGCCTGCTTAAGGGTCTCCAGGTTTTCCTCCCATCCAGGAGTAACCTTCGAGGCATTCTGGTACCACCTATCTACATTCGGGAACTTCTGCAAGTCAAAAGAAAACATTGTGACGGTGGAGACGGTGGCCAGGATGACGATGTCCGCGACGGTCAGTTGGCTGCCGGCCAGGAAGTCCTGACCCTCCAGGAAGGTGTTGAGGAATCCGAAGGCGGTGTTGACCTTGTCCAGGGCCTCCTGATCTCCCAGTTGGCCGGTGCGGAATAGGGGGAAGAAGTACTTGGCTACGGCGTCAAAGAGGGTGCCCATGTCAAAGTAGAGCCTCTGGTTGATCAGAGCCCGCTTCTGGGGATCCTTGGGGTAGAGGGCGAATCAGTCTTGCCGTATTTCTCCACCAGTAGACGGCAATGGCACGGGACTCCCAGATGGCGAATCCATTGTCCACCAGTGTGGGAATGGTGTGCTGCGGGTTGATTTTCACAAACTCCGGCTTCAGTTGGTCTCCCTCCATTGTGTTGATGAACTTGGAGTTCAGCTCAAGTCCCAAGGCCTTGGCAATCATCTGAATCGCACGACTGGCGGGAGCCATGGGCATGTTGTAGAGATCCATGTTGGGCATTGCGTTTGCAGCTGGTGAGGGCTCGAGTGGAAATACTAAACTGATTTAACTCTATCTGGAACACCTGTTTATATAGCAAAATTGCAAATGTGTTATCGGCCAAACCTAAGATAATAGGAATAGTGTTTGTCATTGTTAGAACTCACTTTTTATGCGTTTCGTATAGTTAAGAGCAACCACCTGTGACTAACTCAGCTAGAAACGTGTATGAAATACATAACTAAGTAGGAAAGCTGAAGGAAATTATTAATCAATATTTATATGACTCACATACTTAATAACGGTTTCAAAACTCCAGTGTCATCTTAAATCCAAAATAAATGTATACAATTACTCATACTTTTTGAAAGTTAGAAGCCGTAGACTTTTTGTTTTACTAAGTGCAAATACAGATTGAGGAAAGTATACCATTTGTCATGGCCTTGGACTTCAAACAAAATAAAAATGATTGATAACGATTACCGAATGCCTTTATCATTTGGACGACTATTTCCAGAAACATCTATTTTTTGGCAAAGCAACTTATCTGTTGAAATGTAACTGGTTTGAATATTTTATATTTATTTTATATTTTATTTAAAGTGAATAAAATCTTATCATTTAATTTACAATGTTGCTGTAATATGAATTTCAGCTAATTAAAAAAAATATTCTTGTCATTTACTTTTTTTCAGCCAACTTTTGTTCTGCGAACTTCTGCAGCTTTTAATACTCTGCAGGTTTTCTCCCATCCAGGAGTAACCTTCTGGGCATTCTTGTACCACCTCTCCAAGTTGGGGAACTTCTTCAGGTCAAATGGAGCCATTTCGATGGTGGACACACTGGCCAGGATGACGATGTCAGCCACTGTCAGTTGGCTTCCAGCCAGGTAGTCCTGTCCCTCCAGGAAGGTGTTGAGGAACTCAAAGGCGGCGTTGACCTTATCCAAGGCCTCCTGATCTCCCAGCTTGCCGGTGCGGAAGAGGGGGAAGTAGTAGCTGGAAATGGCGTCGTAGAGAGGTCCTATGTCGAAGAAGAGGCGCTGGTTGACCACGGCCCGTGTCTTGGGATCCTTGGGCAGGAGTGTGTCGGCCTTCCCGTACTTCTCCACCAAGTAGATGACGATGGCCCGGGACTCCCAGATGGCAAATCCATTGTCCACCAGGGTGGGAATCGTGTGCTGGGGATTGATTCTTACGAACTCCGGTTTCAGTTGGTCTCCCGCCTGGGTGTTGATGAACTTGGAGTTTAGTTGGACTCCCACAGCCTTCGCAGTCATCTGCACAGCACGAGTGCTTGCGGTTCCGGGCATTTCCAGCTACTACTTCCCCCTCTTCCGCACCGGCAAGCTGGGAGATCAGGAGGCCTTGGATAAGGTCAACGCCGCCTTTGAGTTCCTCAACACCTTCCTGGAGGGACAGGACTACCTGGCTGGAAGCCAACTGACAGTGGCTGACATCGTCATCCTGGCCAGTGTGTCCACCTTCGAAATGGCTCCATTTGACCTGAAGAAGTTCCCCAACTTGGAGAGGTGGTACAAGAATGCCCAGAAGGTTACTCCTGGTTGGGAGGAACACCTGCAGAGTATTAAGCAGCTGCAGAAGTTCGCAGAACAAAAGTTGGCCGAAAGAAACGCAAAAGCTTAAATTGCGATAATATATCATTATATGTTGCATTTAATTCAGTTAGGATAAAAATGAAGTCATGAACAAATTATTAATAAAAGAACTACATATTTCAAAAATTTAGCTTATTACATAACAACTTTTAGGAATATTGTTTTACAAAATGTATGAAAGAATATTTATAAATAACAAAAACTTACTCTGTAGGGTTGGGTTATCAATCATGACAACGAAAGTCGCCTTGGCTTTAGTGAAAATTTTTTTCTTCATGATCGGTACCTTACTCAAATAATCGTGATGTAATATATAATTTCGAATTCAAAATCCATTTGTCTTTTTTTGTTAAAGGATTCAAAAATTCCTATAAACGGAAACAAATATTTATTGAATAAAAAAGTTTACAATTTCTCTATTAAGTTTTCGGCCAAGAATTTTTTGGCACTTTGAATTCTTTCTAGGTTTTCATCCCAACCAGGGGTAACTTTTTGGGCATTCTTGTACCACCTGACCACGTTCGGAAATTGCTCCAAATCAAATTCAACCATTTCGGTTGTGGAAACAGTGGCCAAAATAACGATGTCGGCCACGGACAACTGACTTCCGGCCACGTAATCCTGGCCCTCCAGAAAGGTGTTGAGGAGATTAAAGGCAGCTACAAGCTTCTCAAAATTCTCCTGGGTGCCCGGCTTGCCAGTGCGGAGCAGTGGAAAGAAGTACTTGGCAATGGCCTCGTAGAGGGTGCCCATATCGAAGTACAGTAGCTGGTTGATCAGAGCTTGCTTCTGGGGATCCTTGGGGTATAAGGAATCATCCTTTCCGTACTGCTCCACCAGGTAAACCACTATTGCTCGAGTCTCCCAGATGACGAATCCATTGTCCACCAGGGTGGGAATGGTGTGCTGGGGGTTTATCTTCACAAATTCCGGTTTCAATTGCTCCCCCACAAAGGTGTTGACTTGTATCGAGTTGAGTTCGACTCCCACAGCTTTGGCGGTCATTAGGACGGCCCGGGTGCTTGGAGACCCAGACATATTATAAAGATCCATTTTGAGAAGAGCTATAGTTGCGCCTGACCCGCTGAAATTGAGAAATCAAACTGATTTGGCAATAGCCAAATTTCCCCCTTATATAGAAAACTTGTTATGAAGTCATCTACCTGCCGATTATAATTATCTGTGTATTTATATATGTCGAACTTGTGTATTTCGTTTGCTTAGGAAATAAGTGATTTTATGCGATTTGTAGATTTATATTGTTACATGCAAATATACCGAATATATATATAAATATACTTTTCCACTAGATAGACGGCGATGGCAGGGGACTCCCAAACTACATATTACATTACATTACCTTTTTACGTATTCAAAAGCTTCTTATTTAACTCGATCCCAATTGCCTCGGCAACCATAACTGTTCGAAATCCACTACCTCGTGGCATGTAATAATAATCCATGTTGAGAACAAAGCGTGTTTGGTATTACCTCTTAGAGAGAAGAACGAGAACTGATAGAGAAGAGCTAGGAAACTAAGTTATATACCTTTAAGAGAGTTAGCATTATCTCTTATTATTTTTTGTTTGTTTTTCGCGATTGTCAACTTAGTTATTTGTTGAAATATGTCGCACTAACATTCAACTGGCTAAGACCGTTGCCAGTTTTTAGAAAACCTTAAGAGTAAATTATATAGATGAAGAATTTCTACAAGGAAAATTATAATTAAAGAATATATATATTCTTCGGTATAAATATAACTGATTAAATCGGACTATGGTGACCAACTTTCCAAGAAACACTATGATATATCGACTTTAAAGATCTTGAAAAGTTTCTGCAAACTTATTTTGTTTATTAAACTTTCTTTTAATAAAAATAAATAAAATTATTTAAGTATATATCTGTTACTTGGCTGCCGCCTGTCGGGCATCAAAGACTGCCTTCAGTTGCAAAAGGCCACTCCAGTTCTCGTCCCATCCGGGAGTCACCTTCTTGGCGTTGGCGTACCATCTGACCACATTAGGGTACTTGCTGAGGTCGAAGTCTACGATATCGAAGGTGGAAACGGTGGAGAGGATGGCAATATCGGCCACGGTTAGCTGGTCGCCAGCCACGTAGTCCTGACCCTCGAGGAAGATATTTAGATACTCGAAGGACGTCTCGATCTTCTTGAAGTCCTCGTCAGATCCGGGCTTGCCAGTTTGGTAAAGTGGGTAGTAGTACCTGGCGAAGCTATCGTATAGAGTTCCCATATCAAAGTAAAGGCGCTGGTTGACCAGGGCCTGCTTCTTGGGATCCTTGGGGAAGAGAGAGTCGTCCTTGCCGTATTGCTCAATCAGATACACGGCAATGGCTCGGGACTCCCAAATGGAGAGTCCGTTGTCCACCAGAGTGGGGATCGTGTGCTGGGGATTCAGCTTCACGAACTCCGGTTTCAGTTGGTCCTTATCCATGGTGTTCACTAGCTTTTTGTTTAGCTCCAAACCCAAGGCCTTGGCCACCATGATCACTGTGCGGCATCCGCTTCCACGAGGCGAGTAGTAGAAATCCATTTTTGGTTATTTTTGTGTTGTTCGCTGGAGAGCAAGACCAGAACTGATTGCGACAATAAGAACGTTCCTCTTTTTATAGCAACATAGTTGTGAAATTACATGTAAATTACATGTACAAGCATTGTTCTACGATTTACAAGTGTAGGTAAATTAAGCAATAGTAATCTACTCTGATAGGAAGGTAGCCTTACGTTTTGATCCCAGTTCAAACTACGAAGGGCAAAAAGAAGAAATTTTTTTTGTACCGACTCAATACGGTCAATATGCACTTCATTTTGCGGACTCCAAGACGAAGAACAATATTACACAATAGGACGGACAAGGTGGGTAAATAATAATTTGGTTCTATAAGGACCATCAAATTCTTTTGACCAACGCTTTATAAACCCAAGAACACTCATGGCCTTGTTGACAGTGGACATTATGTGGCAGTCAAATTTAAGTTTTGGGTCCAGAAGAACGCCTAAGTCATTAACGGAATATATACGGTCGAGTGACTTATTTTGAAGAGAGTAACTAACAAAAGTAGGAGTACCCCTATAAAAAGTCATAACGTTGAATTTAAGGCAGTTCAAATTTAAAAGGTTGTACTCACACCATCCCTGAAAACAATCAATATCTGACTGTAAGTTGAAACCCGATGCTATATTGTTATATGATAAACAAAGCTTAACATCATCAGCATACATTAGTACACGAAAATGTGTTATGGTAGAGGGAAAATCGTTTATAAACAAAGTAAACAGCAAAGGACCCAAATGACTACCCTGAGGCACTCCAGATATCACGAAGATGAATTTTAAAACAGCGTTCTTGAATATAACCCTCTAAGTCCTACCATTCAAATAACTTCAAATCCAAGTTAAATATCCAATTAAATATTCATTTAAAATAGTATTTTTTTACTCCCAAATGGCAAACATCAAATTTACAATTTCTCTATTAAGTTTTCAGCAAAGAATTTTTTGGCACTTTTAATATATTCTACGTTTTCGTCCCAACCAGGGGTAACAGTTTGGGCATTCTTATACCACCTGACCACGTTCGGAAATTGCTTCAAATCAAATTCCGCCATTTCGGTTGTAGAAACGGTGGCCAAAATAACGATGTCGGCCACGGACAACTGACTTCCGGCCACGTAATCCTAGCCCTCCAGAAAGGTGTTGAGGAGATTAAAGGCAGCAACAAGCTTTTCAAAGTTTTGTGTGCTGGGGATTGAGTCTTAACAAAGAAGAACGCTATAGTCGAGTACCTCGACTATCAGCTACCCGTTACTCAGCTAAAGGGACCAAGGGAAATGGAGATATGCAAGCAGCAAAGCGAGATTAAAATGCGCCACCTACCGACGGTTGACAGATTTAAGCGATATGGGCGTTAGAGTGGGCGTGTCAACATTTTTTTGGACCAATCGATAGGTGTTGGCGAGACCAATACATTTCAGATAAGGTTTTTTATCTAGCATGAAAATTGTGGGCGTCACAGGTTTGGGCGGTTTGTGGGCGTTAAAGTTAAATACATTTCAGTTAACATTTTTATTCTAGCATCAAAACTGTAGGAGCCACAGTTATGGGCGGTTTGTGTTCGCTAGAGTGGGCGTGGCACTCTGCTGAAACAAACTTGCGCTGCGTAAGAAGCTCAGGAATCTGCACGCCAAATCTCAATAGCCTAGCTCCTATAGCTTCCGAGATCTCAGCGTTCATCCGGACAGACGGACATGGCTAGATCGACTCGGCTAGTGATCCTGATCAAGAATATATATACTTTATGGGGTCGGAAACGCTTCCCTCTGCCTGTTACATACTTTCCGACGAATCAAGTATACCCTTTTACTCTACGAGTAGCGGGTATAAAAACTCAGGCTCACCCTCACCTTACCCTTTGAGGTATTCAAAAGCTTCTTATTTAACTCGGTCCCGATTGACTTGGCAACCATAAGAACTGTTCAAAATCCACTACCTCGTGGCATGTAATAATAATGCATGTTGAGAACAAAGCGTGTTTGGTTTACCTCTTAGAACGAGAGCTGATGGAGAAGAGCTAGGAAACTTAATTGTATACCTTTAAGAGGTAAGCATTATCTCCCTTTATATTTTGTTTGTTTTTCGCGATTGTGAACTTAGTTATTACTTGAAATAGTGAGAAGATAGTGTAATACTTGCCTCTAAATATATATGAAAAACACAGAAGTATGAAACAATATAATTAAGCAATACTTCTTTATATGTTGCTTCTAAACGAGTCTTGCTCCTAAAAGGAGATGTTATGTTTGCATGTCGCACAAATATTCAATTGCCAGTTTTTAGAAAACCTAAAGAGTAAATTATATAGATAAAGTATTTCTATAAGGAAAGTTATAACTAGAGAATATAAATTATTAAATCGGACTATGGTGACCAACTTTCCAAGAAATACAATGCTATATCGACTTTAAAGATCTTAAAAGCTAAAACTTAAGGAGCAAACATAGTTTGTTGTTTCTGCAAACTTATTTTATGTTTATTAAACTTTTTTTAAATACAAATAAATTAAATTATTTAAGTATATATCTGTTACTTGGCTGCCGCCTGTCGGGCATCAAAGACTGCCTTCAGTTCTAAAAGGCCACTCCAGTTCTCGTCCCATCCGGGAGTCACCTTCTTGGCGTTGGCGTACCATCTGACCACATTAGGGTACTTGCTGAGGTCGAAATCAAAGATGTCGAAGGTGGAAACTGTGGAGAGGATGGCAATATCGGCCACGGTTAGCTGGTCGCCAGCCACGTAGTCCTGGCCCTCGAGGAATATATTCAGATACCCGAAGGACGTCTCGATATTCTTGAAGTCGTCGTCAGATCCGGGCTTGCCAGTGTGGAAAAGTGGGTAGTAGTACTTTTCGAAGCTATCGTATAGAGTCCCCATATCGAAGTAAAGGCGCTGGTTGACCAGGGCCTGCTTCTGGGATCCTTGGGGAAGAGAGAGTCGTCCTTGCCGTATTGCTCAATCAGATACACGGCAATGGCTCGGGACTCCCAAATGGAGAGTCCGTTGTCCACCAGAGTGGGGATGGTGTGCTGAGGGTTGAGCTTCACGAACTCCGGTTTCAGTTGGTCCTTATCTATGGTGTTCACTAGCTTTTTGTTTAGCTCCAAACCCAAGGCCTTGGCCACCATGATCACTGTGCGGCATCCGCTTCCACGAGGCGAGTAGTAGAAATCCATTTTTGGTAATTTTGTGTTGTTCGCTGGAGAGCAAGACCAGAACTGATTGCGACAATAAGAGCGTTCCTCTTTTTATAGCAACATAGTTGTGAAATTACATGTATCGCTCCCACTGATAATAATTGTTTACTCGACGCTTCTTCGACCTTAAACATTCAGGTCTTTGAATGTGGTTGTGAAATTACCCTCTCTCTATTCGCTTATCATCACTGTGGCCAATCGTGAACAAAATCGTCAGGTGTAAACTTGATTAAAAATTCATTTAAAATTGTTTTTTTTTTATACCCTTGCAGAGGGTATTATGATTTCAGTCAGAAGTTCGGAACGCAGTGAAGGAGACGTTTCCGATCCCATAAAGTATATCTATTCTTGATCAGCATCACTAGACGAGTCGATCTAGCCATGTCCGTCTGTCCGTCCGTTTCTACGCAAACTAGTCTCTCAGTTTTAAAGATATCTGAAACTTTCCCAGAAGTCTTTTTTCTCTTATATAAGTTGAAAGCAGCCGGATCGGACAACTATATCTTATAGCTCCCACAGGAATAATCGGGAAATTTTTTTTTAATTATATCTTTGGCGTTTTTTAACATATAACCTCCTACGCTTGGAAATCACGTTTTTTAATTAGTTCTGAATTTCGAATATAATTTTATCAAAATCGGACGACTATATCATATATGTAGCTGCCGTAGGAACGATCGGAAAATTTGTGGAAAAATAATATGAAAGAAATTATAGCTTCGGTGTTTTTTGACACATTATCTTATACTATTGGGAATATCATATTTTGTATTTTTAAGAATTTTTTGAATAAAATTTAATAATTATAACTGCAAGGGTATACAAACTTCAGCTTGCCGAAGCTAACTTTCTTTCTGGTTTATTTTGATCCCCAAATAGCAAACAACAAACATAAACAAAACCGGTTTATACACCAAAAAAAAAGTAGCGCTAAACTCACGCACATGATTTAATAACAAGCCGTTTGAGCCCATGAAACTAAATAATGAACATTTTCATAACATTTTCCAAACAATCGTTTCTGAATTGTACGCAAACAGGCTTCAGCACTTGGGATCGTTTTTTTACGTTTCGAACTCATTTTTATTTCCACATAAAATTGTACAATATAATTATAGAGGGTTAATTAATAACGGATTCTTTCTTGTGATCTTTGGAATTATGAGCTTCGTCTCTACCACGATTCTCCACCAAAAAGACAGCAATCGCATTAGCCCATGCTGGGCCAGAAATTTAATTATCTGTTTTTCTTTCTTAGAAGGTTTTACTTTTACATAATAAATAATTATAATTTCTTAAAAGATTAAAACTTTCAACGAACTAAAAGTAAAATTTTTGGGTTTTCTATAATGAAAATCGAAACAGGGAAACTATTATGTTTTCGGTACGCTAATGCTGCAAAAGTATAGGGTTCAGTTTAAGAAGCCCGTCTTAAGGTGCTCTAAGGCATTCAAATTCTGCTTAATAATCTGAGTTTTAACAGCCTCTCCCACCATAAGATCAAAGCGACATTTACTGCCGAGCGGCGTTTAATAAAAATCCGTAACTTTTCTGTATTGTCTGCTGGAGGTAAGAACGGAATCTAAACGACAAAAGCAGAGTCTTATCATTTACCATTTGTTGTTGTTTATTAAATAAACTTTATTTCCCTTATTGCAAGGTAGTTTATAGATGAACTACTTTGATTTCTCCGTAAACCAGGAAAAGTAAAAATCGAAACCATTGCCGTTATGTTATAAATATTTAATACTTTACCAACAATGAAAATATATTTTCGTTTAAAAGTTTATTAAGACTTAGGTTATAAATTAATTGACAAATTTTTACTTTGCAGAGGACTTTTGAGCCTCATACATCGATTTCATTTGCAGCAAGCCCTCCCAGTTCTCCTCCCAACCGGGAGTCACCTTCTTGGCATTGGCGTACCACCTGGCCACATTTGGATATTTGCTGATGTCGAACTCAACTACTTCGAAAGTGGAAACGCTGGAGAGGATGGCGATATCGGCCACTGTGAACTTTTCACCAGCCACGTAGTCCTGTCCCTCCAGAAAAATGTTTAGGAATTCAAAGGCAGCCTCGACCTTCTTGAAATTCTCGGCAGCTCCAAGCTGTCCAGTTCGGATGAAGGGGTAGTAGTATTTCATGAAGGAATCGTGCAATGTTCCCATGTCGAAGTAAAGGCGCTGGTTGATCAAGGCACGTTTCTGGGGATCCTTGGGGAAGAGGGAGTCGTCCTTGCCGTACTTCTCCACCAGATAGACGGCGATGGCGCGGGACTCCCAAATGGAGAACCCATTATCCACCAATGTGGGAATGGTGTGCTGGGGATTGAGCTTAAGGAACTCTGGCTTCAAGTGCTCCCCTCCGTGAGGCGCAGCTGCTTCTTGTTCAACTCCAGACCCAAAGCCTTGGCCACCATGATAACGGTGCGACATCCACTGCCACGAGGGGAGTAGTAAAATCCATGTTGGGAATACTGTGTGCTTTTCGCACGAGAGAAAACGTGGAACTGATTGGTACAGTAATGGTTCTCTTTTATATAGCGATATTTCATATCTCTCGAACCGATTATACTTATTTTCCTGAACGTGTTTGAAATTGCTTGTCACTCTGTTTTATTAATGTTATGCATCAGGGAGCTCTATAAATAAACACTAGAAGTGCAATAACCTCTTATCATTGGGTTGCGTTAGCAACTGTTGGCATATGGACAAAGAAATTAAACTATTTTCAGTCATACTCAGTCGACAAATACCTTTAAAAATGGTACATTGCTAAACTTTTGAGGACTGAATCTTCTAAGTCTGCTAAGTTTAATGTGAAAAGAACTATAAAATAGACCCAACAAAATATAATTTGTGTATTATATTTACTTTATCTACTTTATATTCCATAATTCTTCATCAGAATTTCTTACTTACCTTATTTATATTAACTTCCCTTAGCCAAGCAATTATTTTTGAACACCCAAAGTTAACCAGTATTTGAAAAACTTTTTAATCAGTAACAATTGTTTTTATTTAAAATTTTAAAAGTGTACACTGTACACTTTATCGGAGAGATTATTGGGTTTCCTTCTTTTTATCATCCACCATTTTCTTCACATCCAGGGCGCCCTCCCAGTTTTCCTCCCAGCCAGGAGTAATCTCCTTGACCTTGGCGTACCACTTGGCCACATTCGGATATTTGCTGATGTCGAAGTCGAGGACATCGAAGGTGGAAACGCTGGAGAGGATGGCGATATCGGCCACGGTGTATTGGTCACCGGCTACGTACTCTTGGCCCTCCAGGAAGGTGTTCAGAAAATCGAAGGTCTCCTGGATCTTCTTGAAGTCCTCTTCAGTGCCATTCTGGCCGGTGAAAAACACTTTGTAATAGTAGTTGGCCAGCGAGGGATACATGGAGCCCATATCGAAATAGAGGCGTTGATTGATCACCGCCTGCTTCTGAACATCTTTGGGGTAGAGGGAATCGTCCTTGCCGTACTGTTCGATCAGGTAAACGGCGATGGCACGCGACTCCCAGAGGGTAAAACCGTTGTCCACCAAGGTGGGGATCGTGTGCTGGGGGTTGATCTTGATGAAGTCCGGATTCAGCTGCTCTCCCGTCCGGGTGTTTACCCGCTTCTTGTTCAGATCAAGACCCAGGGCCTTGGCCACCATGAGGACGGTGCGGCAGGCGCTGACCAGAGGCAGGTAGTATAGATCCATGTTGGTGACCGCGATCGGTTCGTGCTGCCCGTTCGAGAGGAAAAAGAGAACTGTCTGGGATCCCCACGGGATTCTACCTATATAGCTACTTTCATACATATATATGCCATAGCGAAAAGAGAATGTTTGCCATGTTGCTATGCCGTGCTAATTTATTGTGTTCGTAAGAGTGAATTTTACATTTGTATGCGTGCACTCATTATTTAATCAATTTCGTCGAGTTTGTGTTCTCTGCGAAATCAGCTACTAGAATTTCTGTATGTATACCACTAAGTAAACAAATTTGGTTCCCTTAAAGTTTGCAATTCAAGCAGGAAAATACAAATTCTCTTGGAAAACCGATTTATTAGTTCAAGTGCTTGGGGTTTTGTGGAAGTGCGCTGATTCTGGTGGGTAATATTGCAGTAATCCTAATAAATCTTTAGACTATATTTAGAGATATGTTTATATTTTGTTTTAAATTGTTTACGAAGAATAAATTTAAACTTGCTTAATATTAATTAATTACGCTGACAAATATAAAATTAACTGGAACATTTCAGTAATATAAGCAATCGAATTGGTTATATTGGTTATGTAAAAATTCATAACACAAAATAATATCAAATATGAAAAGAAATCACTGAAAATCCATGTTACTTATTCTTCAATCAATCAAAAGAGACGAGACATTTAGTGTTTGTGATTCTAGAAGCTATGATCTAAGAACCCCGCTTAGTTTCTACCCTTGTAAAAGTTTTTTGAATATTTAACAATGACTTAATATTCCTTTATTTCATTTAAAAGTAACATAAATACAATATATTTTTGAGAGTCATTTACTTTCCAGCCGCCTCACGGTCCTCAAGGAATGCCTTCATCGCCAGCAGACCCTCCCAGTTCACGTCCCACCCGGGAGTCACCTCCTTGGCATTGGCATACCACCTGGTGACATTGGCGTACTTGCTGAAGTCGAACTTAACTATGTCGAAGGTGGAGACTGTGGCCAGGATGGCGATGTCGGCCACGGTGAGTTGGTCGCCAGCCACGTAGTCCTGGCCCTCCAGGAAAGTGTCGAGGAACCCGAAGGAGGTTTCGATTTTCTTCATATCTTCCTCAGTTCCGGGTTTTCCAGTGCGGAATAGGGGGTAGTATACTTGGCGAAGCTATCGTACAGAGTTCCCATGTCGAAGTACAGGCGCTGGTTGACCACAGCCCGTGTCTTGGGATCCTTCGGAAGAGGGAGTCGTCCTTGCCGTACTTCTCCACCAAATAGACGGCGATGGCACGAGACTCCCAAATGGAGAACCCGTTGTCCACCAGGGTGGGGATCGTGTGCTGGGGATTAAGCTTACAAACTCCGGCTTCAACTGTTCACCTTCCATGGTGTTCAGGAGCTTCTTGTTCAGCTCGAGTTCAAGAGCCTTCGCCACCATGATCACCGTACGGCATCCACTGCTGCCTGGCATGTAGTAGAAGTCCATGTTGAAGAATGCTTTCGTAGTGCTATCCGCAGGAATGGAGAACTACAACTGGAAACCACCCGCAACGCTTGCTACTTATAAAGCCAAATGCATGTGAAATTGTCTCTTCCCATTTGTTTGTCTTGCTTTGGAAATATATGCCAGTCATGCTTAGAACAAACTTTTTCATAATTTGGGTGCTGGTTATTTTGGTTGAGGGACACGTATGTACATATAATGACTAACAGGCGGAATCAAAGAAAAGCTAATGATAATTTCAGGTGCATAATGTATAAGTAACTCGGCTAGAAGTATTAATGTGTATGATTAGTTGGATAGAACTAATTAAAAATTTAAAACATTATGAGTCATCAAATATATGACTGACATGGGGCAGTGGACAGCATGTACATATTGATTCTAATATTCTTAAGATAACTATCTTTATTATCTTACTATAATTTCTTTTTCTATTTTACTACACCTAACCGATAATTCTTCTTGGAAAGATAGGAAATCAAAAAATCGCCCAAGTTAGTATTAGTAATGTATCGAATAATAAATTATAAAGCATATAAGTTAAGTTCATTAAATATAATTACGAATCCATCCAAATACAAAACTTTAAGATGCGTTGTACCTTTTAGGTTATACACAATTTGATCTCACATGGATAATGAGATGTGTAAGTTGCTGCTGAAATTTTACTTATAACTGAATATATATATATGTGTTCTCAAAATTTAAGGAATTATAAAAAAGGTAGATTTTCATTTCCATCCATTCAGTGTTGTTTTTAAATGAACTTAAGAAATTTCTGAAGGAAACACTCCCATAAATCAGAAACAAACACCCTTATGTACATAAGTTAATATACGTTATTTTATTTATTCAGTTAATATTAAAGCCATCGGTTTTCTGAGAGTAAATTACTTGGCAGCAGCCATGCGGGACTCAAAGAAGGCCTTCATCTGCTGCAGACCCTCCCAGTTCTCGTCCCATCCGGGAGTAACCTTCTTGGCATTGGCGTACCACCTGACCACATTGGAGTACTTGCTGAAGTCGAACTCGATAACGTCAAAGGTGGAGACGTTGGCCAGAATAGCAATGTCGGCCACGGTGAGCGAGTCGCCAGCGACGTACTCATGGCCCTCCAGGAAGGTATCGAGGAATCCGAAGGCGGTTTCGATCCTCTTCAAGTCCTCCTCAGATCCCAACTTTCCAGTGCGGAAGAGGGGATAGTAGTACTTGGAGAAGGCGTCGGTCAGAGTTCCCATGTCGAAGTACAGGCGCTGGTTGACCACGGCCTGCTTCTTGGGTCCTTCGGGAAGAGGGAGTCGTCCTTGCCGTACTTCTCCACCAGATACACGGCGATGGCGCGGGACTCCCAAATGGAGAACCGTTGTCCACCAGAGTGGGGATAGTGTGCTGGGGATTGAGCTTCAAGAACTCCGGCTTCATCTGATCGCCCTCCATGGTGTTCACCAGCTTCTTGTTGAGTTCCAGACCCAAGGCCTTGGCCACCATGATGACCGTACGGCATCCCAGCGCTACCTGGCATATAGTAGAAATCCATGCTGGAAATGCTGATGTATTGTTAAGCTCTGGAGTGGAGAACGAGAACTGAGTACAACCGCGAACGGCAAGTCTTATATAGCAATATGAGCAAACAAACAACCATCGATGTTTGTGTTTGTATTTCTTTTTTCATATTTGGGTGCACATTATCAGGTCGTTCTGGTTTTACCCTTTAAGACAGATTGGCGAATTTATTTTAGTAAGATCGCTGTTTTACCCTCCAGAGAAAATTGTTTTGAAAATACGACACCATCTGCAAGTCCATTTTTCTCTAAGTAAAGTCAGTTTTAACATGGAAAGTGAAAACCGGAACAGTTCCGTATATTCAGTTTGAAGCACCTACGTATTCCTACAATCACTGGGGGTAGGTGCAAATGATAATTTTATGTGCATACTGGTTGAGTTAGTATTAGTATGCGATAAGTGTGTTATCATAAAGGAAATGTACCGATTCAAAGTGATGAGCTGTTATGAGTCATTATAAGTTATAAGTTTGTGGTGTCAAATTGATCAGATAATTATATTGGGCGCAGTAGGGGAATATAGAGATAACTTTGCACTCTAAGTACAAAAGTTTCCGCTCCCTTATATGCCTCGTTGTTAAAGGGATGGAAATTATATAGTTATTATTGTATAACACAATTCTCCTAATTATTCCTGGAGATCAAACATTTTTTGCATAATGCTTTGCATGTTGATACATACATATTCTATAGAAGTGTATTAAGAATTCGACTTTAACATTTATGGGGAGTGGAGTGATAAGTTGCTATAGGTTATCTATAGCGTTAATTGAAAAGATAATGTAAAGGGAAGCGTGGCCACACTGATGTTCAAATTATTAGGTAGCAATTATATGTTGACAGATTTAAAAATGTGGTAGGAGTAACAGAAAAAATGTCGGTATTTCAATGAAACGAAGTTCAAAGTATGGAATTCCAGCTTCAAGCTTTTTTTTCAGTATACAATTGACTATATGCAAACAGTTACTTGTCTTTTCAAAGCCGAGATCAAAGAAAGACTGAAGCGAAGACCAACGCAGCTGTACACAAAAAATCACCATCAAATGGAATCAAGAAAATATATATCCACTGTGAGTGTGTTTATATGGCAGACCGGCGAACAAACCGATGAAGTAGAATACGAGATCTGTGGGGGCTCTTCGCCCTATCAATTCTCTTTGGGGGCCTGAATCTCTTAGTCCCTGCTCTTCATCTGGTTGGGGTTTCTGCCTTTTGAATGTGACGCATACTTGGCCAATGCCGTCTAACTGGTTCTCTTGATATGCAGCGGCAAACACTGTGACCTTTCTCTACATTTTACGCTACATTTTGGGCCGGCTTTTTTAGTGAATTAACCCAACCAGTTTTTGGCGAACTTATTGTGTTTACGACCCCATGTTTCCCATGATTCAGTGGACTTCGGCGTTATGTTCAAATGAGTAACTCTCGGGGGCCTGGGCCTTGGGGCTTTCTGATTTCACAAGCGATTTATGGATTGTTCTGGACGTTAAGAGAGCAATTTGTTTGACGTGTCGCCCACGAAAGTGCTCTTTTCATTTTTTCTACTTGTTATTGAAATTTTTTGCCTGGTCATGCTGATAGTTGGTATTGCGAATTGTGAAACTGATAAAAAGAATTGTTTTTTTGGGGCAAAATACACCCCCAGCGGACTAAGGCAGGAATGTTCGAGTGGGTACTTCATCGATTTTATCAAACCCTTCCAAGAAACAGAAGCTAAAGTAAATATCATTCTCAGTTTCATGTAATGCGGCCATTACAATGAATTCTAAATGACCAAGGCCTTCAAAACACAAACAAACCGGTTCAATCGATATTTCTATTTCTACAGTCATAAAATAATTACTTGAGAAATGTATAACATTAATTTGGCATTTGCATGTCCCTTTGAATTGTAAATTACTCAAGGTTTGACACTTCTATAACGACCTCAATGGGTTTCCCTATAATTTTTTCAATCACTTGCTTCAGAAATTATCAAACATGGTTATATTTTTGTGGACTTATTAGTTAGCAAAGTACTGCATGAGTCTCTTGCGAATTGTTTATACGTATGTTTCCATTTCACTTGGAAATACTCGCCAACTGTTGCTGTGTGTTGGCCTGATATCAATGTTTGCCGGCCGGCTTGGGTTGTTATCTGGTTTCTGTTTGCCTTGTTTTTATTTTTTTATTTTTACTTTGAAGAAAGAATTTTTTTAAGCGCACAGATGTTCGTTAGAAATGCAAAAATGTGTATCCAAGCAAATTGAGTGCATTTAATGTGAGCGAGAAGGCAAGGCAACTTTAGTAAGTCGAAGTGCTTATACACTTATAGGATTTTTTTTACAAAAATGTAATGAACTAATGTGTTTAAAACGTTCCTCCAACAAAGACTAGAGGACTACACAATTTCTTGAAACATTGGAAATGAAATTATTAAAATAAAACAGACGTGATTAATAATAGTTGTATACTCTTTGGAAGTGATGATGAATAATAATGATCTTTATAAGAAAGAATATCTCTCCACCTTGCCTTACAAACTTCTATAAAACTTGGAGTACCTACAGCACGGGTATAAAAATATAAAAAGTGAGATAATAATCAACGAAAATGTGTTCTAAAGAGAGGAAAAAGGCAGCGTTCCAATGGAGGATCATTAGAAAGTTGCAGCTTTCTTTTTGGAGCGGGGTGGTAATGGGGTGGTGAGAGGGGCTAAATGCAACTTGCGCCAAATCACCAACACACTTGCACACGGCTCCACATACTCGTATTAATCACGCTGCTAACGTCACATTTTTGCCTGATATTAGTGGTATGTGTAGGCAAGGCAGAAAATAAAAGACAAAAAACACAGACACGAAAACAACTAGCGGTTGTCTCTCTTCATGGGGACTCCCCGCCCCTGCCCTCCACTGCCACGCCCCCTGCCCACCGCCACCCCTCGGGACGTCAAACAACAACTCTTGTTTGCCGGCATTATGGCGACCGCCACCGAATGCTATAAAAGTCGACCCGCTCTCCGAATCCCGTTCAGTACTACTTCTCATCTGGTACAGTGCACATCGCGAGATTTCCAACAAACAAACTGTAAGTTCCGACCCTCTATAACTATTGTGATTGTGTTGTGTCCGTGTCCAGGCAAAAATAATATAAAGAAACAATATGTTCAAGGAATTCGCATGGAAATTTACCAAAAAGCTCAAATAGTTGAAAGAACCACAGCTCAGATATGACATCATGCCTGGGAGTCTGTTGGCCAAGTGAATTTCTGAAACGACGGCCCCAATTAAAGTCAGCTTTTGTCTGAACTCGTAATTATAGAGCGCGTCTAATTACGGCATATCTTTGCTGATCTATTCTGTGCGCCTTTTAGCACGCCATATAGGAAAAGTATACCAAAGTGGAATACAAATCTTGCTGTATAAGAAAAATACAAATTATAATATGTGTATGAGAGCGTAACCTTATTTTGCCTGAAAAAATGATTAATTATTTGATTTTCGATATGTAAAAAAGAGTTAGTGTAGGCTTTTGAGAACTAGTTTTCATTCCCATATAAAATGGCGGACTATTATATCTTTTTTATTAGTTTTCTTACCAAAGAAAATTGGGATTTTGACTTTTAAATTGGTGATGCTACTAAAATGGTTTTACTTATCCGAAAGTGTTTTTTTTTAATATTTTAGGCCTTTTTATAAACAGTAAATAATTACTAACCCCCATTTTTCTGAACCATTGCAGTAACATGGTTGACTTCTACTACCTGCCCGGCTCCTCCCCCTGCCGCTCCGTGATCATGACCGCCAAGGCCGTGGGCGTCGATCTGAACAAGAAGCTGCTCAACCTGCAGGCCGGCGAGCACCTGAAGCCCGAGTTCCTGAAGATCAATCCCCAGCACACCATCCCCACCCTGGTGGACAACGGATTCGCGCTGTGGGAGTCGCGTGCCATCCAGGTTTACCTGGTGGAGAAGTACGGCAAGACCGACTCGCTGTACCCCAAGTGCCCCAAGAAGCGGGCCGTGATCAACCAGCGGCTGTACTTCGACATGGGCACCCTGTACCAGAGCTTCGCCAACTACTACTACCCGCAGGTGTTCGCCAAGGCGCCAGCCGATCCCGAGGCCTTCAAGAAGATCGAGTCCGCCTTCGAGTTCCTGAACACCTTCCTCGAGGGCCAGGAGTACGCCGCCGGCGACTCGCTCACCGTGGCCGACATCGCCCTGGTGGCCTCCGTCTCCACCTTCGAGGTGGCCGGATTCGAGATCAGCAAGTACGCCAACGTGAACAAGTGGTACGAGAACGCCAAGAAGGTCACCCCCGGGTGGGAGGACAACTGGGCCGGGTGCCTGGAGTTCAAGAAGTTCTTCGAATAAGCCTGATACTCACCCCTTTTACACCCCGTACATTTGATGTAGTATTTATATTCACGTTCACAAAAAACAATTCCAAATTCGCCTGTCTCTAAAGACATAAATAAGTGTTCGCTTTTTTGAATGCACAAAATACAAAAGTGTTTTTTGGATGTCTATACTATATGGTGGATGTGGATGTGGGGAGCAACAATTGGATAAGTGGAAGCTCTTCTGTCGCATTTTCCTCTCTTTCGATTCGGAAAGAGTGTGCTATTCTGAATTTCTCTGAATCGGCCTCTTTTCATGCAAAATAAGCAATAAAGGCTGCGCTGCTTGCCGGCTTTTCGTCAGTGTAATTGGTGAAGGGAAACAGCCGGAAGCCACGAATAAAAATCATAGAAATCACTAGAGAAAAGGTGGAAAATTACCCCAGTTAAACTTATAGTGAGATAGTCTGGGAACCTATTATATTGCATCATGAAATACACAAAATTTAATTTTAATTGATTTTTTTGGTTATGCTATTATACTTAATGGATTTGTTTTCTCTACTTTCTATTCCTCGAATGACTTATAACTATTACGCCAGTGTTTAGAGAATACAATGTAATTATAATCTTATCACGTTATATAGAACAGGAAAATGTACATATTATACCTTACTGATAACCAGCTTAGAAATTCAAACAAAATTGCTTGGCAACAAACCCATAAGAGCAGAGACAATCCAATATATTATTATTTATCTTCTCAATAATGTTAGCAAAAGCTTGTAATCATGATACTGTTTATAGACTTGGAAACTTCTAGGAATCAGTAAAGAAGATCATTTGATACAAGATAGTAAATAATCTAGTTATCGTTGAAGAGGGGTTTCAAGTATATAAGACTCATTAAAGGAAAATATTAAATCAGTTCGATTTTACAGGGCGTTGAAGAACCATGTTGGACTTTTACTACATGCTGTACTCGGCACCCTGCCGTTCCATCCTGATGACTGCCCATGCCCTGGGACTGGAGCTGAACAAGAAAAAGGTCGATCTGGATGCAGGTGATCATCTAAGCCCGAGTTTGTCAAGCTCAATCCCCAGCATACGATTCCCACCTGGTGGATGGCGAATTCGCCGTTTGGGAGTCGAGGGCCATTCTGATTTATCTGGCGGAGAAGTACGACAAGGATGGCTCTATCTATCCGAAGGATCCCCAGCAGAGGGCCGTGATCAACCAGCGTTTGTTCTTCGATCTGGGCACTCTTTACCAGAGCTATGTCTACTACTACTATCCCCAGTTGTTCGAGGACGTGAAGAAGCCGGCTGATCCCGAGAACTTCAAGAAGATCGATGCCGCTTTCGCAATGTTCAACACTCTTTTGGAGGGCCAACAGTACGCCGCCCTCAACAAGCTGACTCTGGCCGATTTTGCCCTCCTGGCCACCGTTTCCACTTTCGAAATATCGGAATATGACTTTGGAAAATATCCAAATGTGGTCAGGTGGTACGATATCGCCAAGAAAGTGATACCCGGCTGGGAGGAAAACTGGGAGGGCTGCGAGTACTATAAGAAGTTGTATCTGGGCGGCATTTTGAACAAACAATGACTTGCTCTAATTTAATTACTATGTTTATTACTGCGAATTTAACGCACTGTTTGAATAAAGAGTGCCCATATTTGGTTTATTTAAGAGTATTATTCCCAAGAGTCGTTGACTTTTGGAATGCGATAAGACATGGGGGCCTCTACTCTTGTGAAATTCGTTGAGGTACGACACCTCAAACATTTTCAGTGCGATAAGACAATGCTGCGTGCCTTTCTGCTATAATGTAAGCTACTGCGATTTTGCTGATAGCAAAAACAATTAACGTCAAGGTAATTTTAAGAAACACTTGAACTAATTTAAATTTACCTAAATTATTTTACCTGAGCTAACGGAATCATAATAAATTTAATAGCTTATCGAAATACCACATTTCAAAACCCATTTTGCTCTTATACTGCTCCATTCTCTTTTTCTAGAACCCTCTCTTTGGGCAAGTGACTCGCAATCAGCCAAAAAAATATTTGTCAATTAACACCTGTACTTAATTGATCATAGCCCACATAATACTTATACAGTGGTTATCTTCAGGTTGTTTGTTTGTGTGTATAAAACACGGCTAAACCGCAGAGAATTCTTCAGTTGATTGTCGTTCTTCGACTCCAGCAGAGCCCAGAAGAATTGTTGATTATCTCGTAAGTTCAGCTACCGAAACAAAATTCTCTACTTTTTATTGCAGATTGCGTCACCAAGTTCGTTGGTGCCATTAAAGAAAGTGATTAGCTATTCATTTTATATTCATCACAGTGACACCTTCTGATCTTGATGAATTGCTGTTTCTTGCAGAGATCCCTCAACCGTAAAATGGACCTATACTACAGACCCGGATCTGCTCCCTGCCGTTCTGTTCTGATGACAGCCAAGGCTCTGGGTGTGGAGTTCGATAAGAAGACGATTATTAACACCCGTGCTGGGGAGCAATTCAAACCGGAATACCTCAAGATTAATCCCCAGCACACAATCCCCACGCTATATGATAATGGCTTTGCCTTGTGGGAATCGCGTGCTATCATGGTGTATCTGGTGGAGAAGTATGGCAAGGACGACAAGCTCTTTCCCAAGGATGTCCAGAAGCAGGCTTTGATTAACCAGCGCTTGTACTTCGATATGGGCACCCTTTACAAGAGCTTCTCCGAGTACTATTATCCCCAGATTTTCCTCAAGAAGCCAGCCAATGAGGAGAGCTACAAGAAGATCGAGGTTGCCTTCGAGTTCCTGAACACCTTCCTCGAGGGACAGACCTACAGCGCTGGAGAGGATTATAGTCTGGCTGATATTGCCTTTCTTGCCACGTGTCCACCTTTGATGTAGCCGGTTTCGATTTCAGGCGGTATGCTAATGTGGCCCGCTGGTACGAGCAGACCAAGAAACTTACACCCGGTTGGGAGGACAACTGGGCTGGATGCCAGGAGTTCCGAAAATACTTTGACAACTGATCTCTTAAATCTCGTTAATTGTTGTCCTTGTCTTACATTTGTAAGTCATATTTTAAAGGCTTAGCTGTCTAATCTAATGATGGCACATTAAAAAACATTTTATTCATATTAATATATTCGAGGAACATAATGAATCTAGAATCTAGAGAGTTGCGATTTCAGATTTAAGTTCTTACTTCGTAAGCAGTGCCAGGTTTTTATGCGAGTGTGACGCGCCCACTCTTTCGCCCACAAACCAAGTCCAACACTATGGTTCCTAATTGTTATGGTCGGACCATTAGTTAAAAAGTAGTGGGTTTAGCCGGAAATATTAAATGTTAAAAAATATTAGTTGTTAAATTTCGATTTCAAAAACAATAATTAATCAATTCAAGATTAAACAGCAAAAAGTGATCAATTTTCACTGTTAATTGGTAAAAAAATGTTGCAAAGCGCAAGAGACGGTGAAAAGGGAAACTGAAAGGGATTCAGGACGCCATCTAGAGTATTTTTCAGAAACTCCAACCCACTAAAAAAATTGTCTCTTGCCAGGAGGGTGTACAGGCTAGCTAGGAGGTTGCATTCGCTAACTAAATTTCTAGCGATGGGACAACCTCGATATTAACCAAAAACATCGAGATAGAACAAACAATAAGTACGAAAAAATGTTTTAAACATTAATAAATTAACTTTTTTACTTTTACTCTTAAAAGCAGTATAAGAATATTGTAACCAATTTACATTTTATAGCATAGTGAAGAATTTGTCCCGCAAATGAGCTGCAAGAATATTACGTACACTTAATACTTAATTATTTTTTATCAAAAACAAAAATAGTAATTTCAAGCCAAAAATGGATCATCGGCAAGTTGAGTGAGTTTCGTTCAAGAATTTCAGTGAAAATATCGATACAACTCCAAGTGACCGCTGAGAATATTTTTGGTATATTTAAAGGTAAATTTGCTGATGGTATTTTTCTCCCTTTTCTAAGATGTAGATGGCGTAGTAAACCCTAACATTTAACAGGGCTGTTATGCAGCCATGATCACATAAATAGCACAAAAAGTTTGCTTTCTCTATTTGTGAGCATTGTTTCCAATTGTGTTCGATTAACATTTTATAGCAGTTGGTGCCATGACTCTGATGAAAAGTCAATATGTGTAAAATACCTTGCAAATAAATAGTGCAATAGGCAAGTTTGTAAAATCACAGACACAGACGGAACTCCACTCGTCTAGTGATGCTGATCAAGAATATATGTAATTTGTGGTTCTCCCTCAGTTCATTGCAAACTTCTGACTGAAATTATTATTCCCTCTGCAAGGATACAAAAATATTAAAATGTCTATGCGTGGCTTGGTAAGTTATCGGCCGTTTTTGCTTTTCGCAGCGCAGTTAGTTCCATTAACAGCAATGTTAAGGTAAACTTTTCAAACAGGCAGAGCAGCCAGAGGCGCTGGTTTAACTCTGCCACTGTTGTTGTATCTTAACATTTCTGTTAAAAGGAGACTGGTGTGACCATCCGCCCGCCGCTGCGAAATGAAGAAATTAAAAATATCACGATATTTATTTTTATTCAAAACATCGAAATATTGATATTTGAATACACCTTTCACATCCCTAGTTGAATTTAACATGGCGTTGAGGTCGGATTACGAGGTGAGCTAAAATTAAGCCAGAATTACGATGAAAACTAAGTTAATTAAGTGCCAAAGTGGGAAAGTGCAAGGGATTGTTGAACCGAGATTATTTGGGTGGCCGAAAACCTGGCCAAATCGGTTGTTACGACCAAAACGCTGAGCGGGCGTTGTTTTTAGTGGGAAAAATCGAAGCCCGAGTACTCTGGTGTGGGTGTGTGCGTGTATCTGTGTGTTGTGTACGCTGCTGCTGTTGTTGTTGGTGGTGCTCTGCTGCTTCTGTTTGTTTTGTTGCTGCTGTAAAAAGCAGCAACAACAAAGCCGAGGCGACGCCCTAAGAAGTTATTAATTTGTTTGTGGGCTTTCCGAAACTGGAAGTGAAACGAAGTTGAAACTGGGTTGAGATGCCAATCCTATTGGATCTGGTTCGCCTTTATCTGTTAGATCATTAAAACTAGCCTGGGCTTAGACCTGGTTTTAGACTTTTTTTCGGATTCGGATTAACTTCTAATGCGACTAGCTCCCTCTCGCTCTCTCTATCTTTGAGCCTCTCTCTAACACGCTCTCTGACTTTCCAGGTGTGCTTCGTTTTTTTTTGTTTCGCTCGGGCTTCCACGACTCGCGCTTAACCCTTAGCTGACATGCGCAATTCCCGTTTTCCAGTTTCCAACTTCCAGTACTGCCACTTTCCAGGCGAGAAAGCTTTCCGCTTTTCCGTGCCTGGAAATTTTCACTTTTCGGCTTACATAACCGGTACTGCGGCCGCCCCCTCCCGAACCACGCCCCATTCCGCCGCATCTCGCAGATTTCATTATTGGAATCTCGAGCCCTAGAATAAACTACCCTGGTAACATTCGCACTCGACGTTTATTTTTCCATTTTCCGTGCTTTTCCCTCCTTCCGGAATTGGTGTCATTGGGCCGCGTCGTGCGCTGCTAATTACACACACTCGCACATTAGCGTAAATCGGCGTACTTTTTTTTTTTTATACTCGCCCTTCGATTCCCCCCCGCCGATTACTAACTAAATGCCCCACCGATGACGCCACTTAATTACACCGCAGACGTTAATGAGCTGCCCCCAGGGCTGATGTTTCTACGCAGCCCTCTGGCTATATTCATGTTCTAGGGTTAGAAATCCAAGTCCGTACGCCCAGCTCTATTGATTTTGGGGCTTGTCTAAGGGCAGGTCACACGCACACACACGCGCATCCACACTGCCACGTCGGCCTGAAAGTATGCAAAACTATCTGTGAGCAGCCCAATTCCACTGAAAACGCACAGTGGGCGGAGATTCGCAAAGGAGAAAATCCCCAAGGGTACCTTAAGACTTTAAATAATTAGATTTTCAAAATATTGTACCAACATTTGGTATTGTTTCAAAAGATACTACAACTAGAAAGTTACAAAAATTGTAAAACTTGGTGTAAATGTTACCTTATTTTATTATTTTATTGAAAAGGTTATAGATTGTGGTTTAAAAAGTTAAGTTCAAAGTTTTATCATCATTAGCATTTTATCTTTAGAGATTGTAGCTTACGTTAGATAATTTGTAATGATATGTCGCCTTTCTAAGCGGTTTTTCCAATAAGATATTCGTGATAAGCAGTAAAATATATAAAACAAAATCTAGACCTTAAGCTTACGTCTGTCGCAAAGGTAATTTAAGAACCTCATATCTACGTAAAATAAGTTATTTTAAGAAAAATAATTTTTTTTATATTCTCTCTGAACAAATAACGATTGGTTATACCCAAGCCCACAGTGCTTCTTTCAAATTCTATTATGATTTCACGCATAAATCCGCGTAGAGCTGAGTTATGTACATCCCACACCCCACAGGCGTCGCAGCTCCATTTTGTATGCTGAGTCATGCGCTTTCAATTTAAGTCAATTTAAAAAGCACAGAAAAATCAAGAAACTACAATCTGAAGATGCTCTAGGAACAAGAACACCGACATCGCGATAATGAAGTTTTCTTGCTCTTGACGTGGGCTCCATTGTAAATGATATGGGATTGATGGCCAGCCGAAACCAGAACTAGTTGGTATATATCTGTATCTATCCGTTTATCAGTCGGAAAATGCAGATAAAGCAATTAAGAGTTTATGGGCACAGAAGAATGCCCTGCCAACGTGGATAGTGGCAGGTTCTATCATAGCCCCCAGTATTTAATTATTATCAGCAGTTATCAGCATTGACAGGCAGAATATGTGGTTATTTATATTAATGCCAGATACTTTCAGCACCCGAATGGGACAGGCCTCCTTCCCTGTGTCCAGTTTTACCCGGCTTTTGCCTCTGTTTTGTGATCTTAATTTCGTTTTAACTGTTTAACAGATTGCTACTGGCCATAAAAGGCGACAGCGATAATAATTACAACTAGAAAATACCAGAAAAGCGTCTGCCGGAGGCGGTGACTTGCTTTCGGCAATCAAAGCGTGCCAACAAAATAATATTGGCCATTTTAATTCAATTACACGCCAATAAAAATCTAATCAACTGACAATGGCCAATCGTTTGAGAGGTTCTCCAGTGCAGGGAGCAGAGAAAAAGGCATCAATTGGCAGTCGTGGCAGTCAAGATGTGGAAAATTAGCACCTCGTCTATTGACTGTTTGCTGTCACATCCCAAGATTGCACTTGACAAGGACTCCGATTTGTTTCGATTCGGTGCGATATTTGGCACTTGCCAGCCAGCTTGCGTCAATGGTTAGGGTTTTAATTACCGTGATTGCATAACCCACTGTCAGGGGGTCTGGGCTCTAGTTTCCCAGGTATCTGTATCTGCTATATTTACCTTTCGTCTGCTTATCAGATAACGCTAGCCCCACACTTGAAGATTAAGTTTTAGAACACGGCACTGATTTATTTTCATTTTCGTTTGTTTTCGAGTTGGGATTTTCGTTTCTCATGGTCCATCGATCAAGACCCTTCAGGGGTGGTTTTCTTGTTTGGCTACCTGGAATCAAGTTCTAAGGGCAGACCATTGAATGGCTGAAGCTTAACAATCGCACTATTGTTCCCGCGCCGGTTCAAACGAGTTTTGAGCGGTGAGACGAGATCTTCAGAATTCTGAACTCGTCTTGTGTCACGCACTTAATATTGTCTGAGCGACAACAATTACCGCAATTACCCGAACGCATTGTGGGAGGAAGAAACGAGCTGGGCCGAGATTAAGCCGGCTCGTCTGGGCAATCTGTAACGCCGAAGGAAATGACATAACTGTCAAATATTCGTTTGGGCACTCAACTCCTCAGATACTTTGATTCAATTGCCGGGCAAATGGGGAGGGCATAAACAATGAATAAACACAGAGGCCCAGCGGGGCTGGCCAACTATTCCGGATCGAGTAAATAAATATGTGCCTATCCCGCCCGAACCCGTTGAAATCGGATTTGGCCGCCACCGATCCGTGAGATTTCTTCTGGCACTGGAGATCTATAAAAAAATGCGAAGCATCTAGGCATATACTTGTATGTATTGAAATGGCATACCTGCCATAAATGCAAAAAACTTGGCATGTCGAAATGGAATTGGAATTGAAAATGTTTTCCAAACGATGGATACAATTGAAAGATTGTTCGAATTCTCCCAGAGATACATATGTAACTCAATTGTGTGTGAATCCGTGCATGTATCTTTTGATTCGCACTTTGCCTGCTGCTTGTCGCTCCTTAAATCGTCATAATAAATTTTTATTTAATTTAATGCCTCATATGTGACGACAATATCAACAATTGCCGCCACTTACACACACTCGCCCGAGCACTGCCTGTCCGTAATTTGTTTTAATTTAAATACAATTTAATACAAGCCGCTGACGTTGCTCTTCCACCGACTTTCGCAGTCACGATCGCTCCAAAATAATGCCTCTTTGCCGGAATGCAAATGCAAACAAATTACCATAAGTAGCAGGCCAATGCCAATGATGTTTGGCCGACTGATATTTTTGCTGGTAGCCGAAAATAACCGGGTTTTTAGAGCCGAATCAAATTATCGCACTGCCCGATAATGACAAATAATAGTGGCAAATAAGTCGGGTAAACAAATAACCGTCGACAGCTGTAATTGGTTTTGGGTTCCGCGGCACTTGAGCCGTACTGGTTTGCGTCGTGACCAGGTGAAGTGCGTCAGTGGATCGATAGCGGATACCTGATAAGGTCCCACCGATTCCCCCGATTGCAAGGCATAGGTATATGTGGGTACTACGTTTGGGTTGCCGGGCAGCCTTGGTTTGGGGATCTGGGTAGCATTACCTCCAAGCTATCGCCGTACGGATCCCTTGTACGTATTCCCACTGTCTTCCAATTAGACGTGCCAACGTGCCACAAATCGTTGGCTTTGACTGCTGCCGCTTAAGTAGGTTAGCCAGCACGCTCTCAATTGAGGCTGATTTAGTGCAAAGCGGTTCATTGAGCGGTGGCGCGTGTCAGCCCGATGCACCCACCTTGCCCACTGCAAGACTCCAAGAAAAGAAGGGGGTTCTATCGATTTGCGAGTGCCTGTGATGTAGGGAGCACTTCGGGCATGTGATGAACACGGCAGAATGGGGTTTCAACACCCAATGCATCATTAAGAAATATTCCCCATGCACACAAGTTTTTTTTCGCTTCATCATTAAATTCCCAGTGAGCCATTATTGCGGAAAGGAACATTCTAGTAATATATTTTACAGTTTTACATACTATTATCAAAGAAATCTCCAATATTTTGGGGAGAGTTAGTTCATTAAATAGATAGATTACTGAAACGAAACGAACTTCCCAGCGGAGTAATTAAAATGTATTTCAAGCTTGCTTTACGAGTAAATAAATTACTTACTCATTTGAATTTCCAAGTTCAGAGCCGGTTTTGTAAAACGAACAGTATATTTATCAAAAGGCCAACGAAGTACAAAACGAGTTGTTTCATTTGTTTTAGGAATTCTCAGTTCTGATCTTTAAATGAATTTTGCATGGTATGGAGTTATTACATACCTAGTCTTACTGATAAGAAACACAATGTTGTCTAATCGTCCATTA